GTCTGTTCCACCTCCGACAGGGGAAGAGGAGCGCACAGGAGTTCGCACTGGAGTTCCGGACGCTAGCGGCGGATGCGGGGTGGAATGAGAGGGCCCTCATCGACCACTACCGGTGTAGCCTACGAGAGGACGTTCGTCGTGAGCTGGCCTGCAGGGACACCAACCTGTCGTTCGACCAGTTGGTGGACATCTCCATCCGTCTAGACACCCTGCTGGCTACCCGCGGACGTCCCGAGTGGGGGTCGTCCATTCCACCCTCCAGCACCTCCGAGCCGATTCCCATGGAGCTCGGGGGTGCTGGCGCTAGAGAGAGGAGGAGAGAGAACCCGAGGGGGGCCATCCCCTGCACCAACTGTGGCCGTGGAGGACACACCGCGGCCAGGTGCTGGGGAGGGTCTCCTGGGAGAGGGGACAACAGGTCACGCACTGGGGAGTCATTTCAGGTGAGTAGGCGCCCCACTTACCCAGAGCTTTCTGTTGGTCACATGAGTATTCCTGTGAGATTTCCACAGGTGGCACCTCATTCCCAGCATAAGGCGCTAGTAGATTCAGGCGCAGCTGGGAACTTTATTGATCGGGCATTTTGTTGTAGGTTAGGAATTCCCCTTCGGCCGGTAGAAGCTCCATTTCCTGTCCACGCCTTAGACAGCCGGCCGTTGGGGTCGGGCCTGATCAGGGAGGTCACAGCACCACTGACGATGACGACGCAGGGGGGTCATGAGGAGATCATTCAGTTTTATCTGATTGACTCTCCTGCGTACCCCGTGGTGTTAGGGCTTCCCTGGTTAAGCACCCATGATCCTACCATTGCGTGGCAACAGAGGGCTCTTATGGAGTGGTCTGCCCAGTGTGTAGGGAGATGTCCAGGTGTTTCCGTAGGGGCGACCTCGGTAGAGAGTCCGAACCAAGTGCCCGCACTGCGCATTCCCCCTGAGTATGAGGACTTAGCACTTGTGTTCAGCAAATCGAGGGCAACACGGCTACCACCTCATAGACAGGGGGACTGTGCGATAAATCTCCAAACAGGAGCGGCTCTTCCACGGAGTCGTGTGTATCCCCTGTCTCAAGAGGAGACAGCGGCTATGGAGACTTACATAGCCGAGTCCTTGGCACAGGGATACATACGGTCCTCCACTTCCCCGGTTTCCTCGAGTTTCTTCTTTGTGAAGAAGAAGGACGGGGGATTGCGCCCGTGTATTGATTACCGTAGTCTCAATCAGATCACAGTTAAGTACAGTTACCCACTTCCACTGATTGCGACTATGACGGAATCGTTACGCGGAGCGCAGTTCTTCACAAAGTTGGATCTCAGGAGCGCGTACAATCTGGTGCGCATTAGGGAGGGGGATGAATGGAAAACAGCATTTAGCACCACCTCGGGTCATTACGAGTATCTCGTCATGCCATACGGGTTAATGAATGCTCCTTCAGTCTTCCAATCCTTTGTTGACGAGATTTTCCGGGACATGCATGGGCAGGGTGTAGTAGTGTACATCGACAACATCCTAGTGTACTCTTCTACACGAGCCGAGCATGTAGCCCTGGTGCGCCGAGTGTTGAGAAGACTGTTGGAGCATGACTTGTATGTCAAGGCAGAGAAATGCCTGTTCTTCCAGGAGTCCGTCTCCTTTTTGGGTTATCGGTTGTCCGCGTCTGGTGTGGAGATAGAGGTAGACCGTGTATCGGCCGTGCGTAATTGGCAAACTCCAACCACTGTAAAAGAGGTGCAGCAGTTCTTGGGTTTTGCTAATTACTACCGGAGGTTTATTCGGGGTTTTGGACAAGTTACAGCTCCCATTACGTCCCTGCTAAAGGGGGGTCCGGTTCGTTTGCAGTGGTCGGCTGAGGCGGACAGGGCATTTGTCAAACTGAAGAACCTGTTCACCTCGGCCCCGGTGCTGGCGCATCCGGATCCCTCTTTACCATTCCAAGTAGAGGTAGACGCGTCCGAGACCGGTGTTGGGGCAGTCCTGTCACAACGGTCCGGCACGCCACCTAAACTCCGCCCCTGTGCGTTCTACTCCAAGAAGCTCAGCTCGGCGGAGCGCAATTATGACGTTGGGGACAGGGAGCTGTTAGCCGTAGTCCAGGCCCTAAAGGTGTGGAGGCATTGGCTTGAGGGGGCTCAACACCCTTTCCTCATTCTGACTGATCACCGTAACCTGGAGTACATCCGGGCAGCTAGGAGATTGAACCCTCGTCAGGCTAGGTGGAACATGTTCCTAACCCGGTTTGTTTTTAAGATCACATACATCCCAGGGTCCCAGAATGGTAAGGCAGACGCCCTGTCCCGGCGGTATGACACAGAGGAGAGGTCCAATGAGCCTACTTCCATACTGCCGGAGTCTTGTTTGGTGGCTCCGGTGGTATGGGAGGTCGATGCTGAAATCGAGCGGGCACTGCGTACCGACCCTACTCCCCCCGAGTGTCCTGTGGGGCGGACGTACGTTCCGCTCGAGGTTCGTGATCGTCTTATTTATTGGGCTCATACATCACCCTCCTCTGGACATCCAGGTATTGGCCGGACGGTGCACTGCCTTAGCATGAAATACTGGTGGCCAACGTTAGCTAAGGATGTGAGGGTTTATGTCTCCTCCTGCTCGGTGTGTGCCCAGTGTAAGGCGCCTAGACATTTGCCCAGGGGTAAGTTACATCCCCTGCCCGTTCCACAACGACCATGGTCCCACCTATCGGTGGATTTTGTAACCGACCTACCCCCCTCCCAGGGGAATACCACCATTTTGGTCGTTGTGGATCGGTTTTCCAAGGCCTGTCGTCTCCTCCCAATGCCGGGTCTCCCTACTGCCCTACAGACCGCTGAGGCCCTATTTACCCATGTGTTCCGGCACTATGGGGTCCCCGAGGATATTGTGTCTGACCGAGGTCCCCAGTTCACCTCCAGAGTTTGGGGGGCGTTCATGGAACGCTTGGGGGTTTCGGTAAGCCTTACCTCGGGGTACCACCCAGAGAGCAATGGGCAGGTGGAACGTGTCAACCAGGATGTGGGTAGGTTTTTGAGGTCATATTGCCGGGACCGGCCGGAGGAGTGGTCTAGGTTCATCCCCTGGGCAGAGATGGCCCAGAACTCTCTCCGCCACTCCTCCACCAATTTAACACCTTTCCAGTGTGTTTTAGGTTATCAGCCGGTCCTGGCACCATGGCACGAGAGCCAGATCGAGGCCCCTGCGGTGGACGAGTGGATTCGGCGCTCGGAGGAGACGTGGGACGCTGCCCATGTCCATCTGCAGCGTGCCATCCGTCAACAAAAGGCGAGCGCCGATCGCCACCGCAGTGAGGGACCGGTGTACGCACCGGGAGATCGAGTCTGGCTCTCGACTCGAAACCTGCCCCTCCGCCTGCCCTGCCGGAAGCTGGGTCGGCGGTTTGTGGGGCCCTTCAAAGTCCTGAGAAGATTGAACGAGGTGTGTTACAGGTTACAACTGCCTATAGAGTACAAAAATATTAACCCCTCGTTCCATGTGTCTCTTCTCAGGCCGGTGGTAGCTGGCCCACTCCACGAAGATGAGATAGGAGAGACCCCTCCGCCCCCTTTGGACATCGAGGGGGCCCCGGCGTACAGGGTCCGGACCATCTTGGACTCGAGGCGCCGGATGAGTGGTCTCCAGTATCTCGTGGAGTGGGAGGGGTACGGTCCGGAGGAACGGTGCTGGGTGCCCAGGAGGGACATCCTCGATCCATCCCTCCTGACTGAGTTCCACCGTGGGCATCCCACGCGCCCGGGCCGCGTCCTCCTGGCCGTCCCCGAGGCCGGGGTCGGCGCACGGCTGGAGCCGCGCGTCAAGGGGGGGGTACTGTCACGGATTCTGCCGAGACTGCTCCTCCTCCTGGTTTCCTGCAGGCTTCGGCGTTCGCCGTCCCCGGAGTACTAGCTGCCACCGCTCTATGTTTCGTAGTGTGATTGCTTTCGTCTGTCTTTTACACCTGTGTCCATTTGTGTGTTGATTACTTGTCTTATAAGTTCCTTGTTTTGCATTAGTCTGATTGTGTGTTGTTGTTTTCTGCCTGTCGTGCGGAGCTGCGTGTTTTGCACTCTGCCTATGTTGGATTATTGTTTACGCGTGTTTGCGTAATTGCCTCGCCTCCGTCTGTTTTCGAGGTTGTGTTTGTTTGTTGCACTTGGGACTATTAAAGTCTTTTGGACGTATCCTCTGTGTCCTGCGCCTGACTCCTCCACCACATCCACATCGGAACTACTGACACCTAGCAACTCAGAAATAGGTTTGGAATAGCTCTCCCTTTCCTCTTCTCAATAAACATAATTTGTCATGTATAATCCCATCATTCAAACATTTATAAAATAAAATAACAAGACATACTTTATATGTTTTTTATTTTACCTATGAGAAACACATACATTCCCCTCACCTCAATGTTTTGTCATGCTGACATGAATTGACCAGGTGGATTATTACTCTAGATTGGGAGTAATAAGCACTGTGACAACCAACCCTAGTCTCCCCTACCATGGACCAGAGGGCGACTGCTTAGATTCCTGCTTGCACTTCATCATCATTCCTCTGTCTACAGAGGTTTATTTTTAAAGGGAAGTGTCAGCCAATGTCAAGTCACGTTGCTTTGAGCGATGCGGCGGACAGTCGCCCAACCAGAGAAGCTGTGCTGGGCGGACCAGAACCTTTAAATTCACTCTATCAGCACCAGTAAACACACTACAACATATACCAACTAACAAACAAGCAAGCAAACAAACAACCTGTAAATCCCAATGGGGAAGTAACATGACAATGGGTTAACCATTTAAAACAACAACCTTTCCAAAGCTCACATCTCTCTCTTAATATTGGCAAAAGGCCATATTCAAAGGCCATATTCAAAAGGTCATTCCTTGCATTCCCACCAGTCAACAGTATCTTCTATGGTTGAATTTAAATGTTTTGGTGACGTCAAGCGGCCATTGGAATTTTGGCAGTGGTGGGGCCACTATATAAAAATGTTGGGACAGAGAGAGGTAGAGAGAGAGAGAGGGAGGGGGACAAGTGGAGAGATAAGATAGCGAAGAGTTGGTGTTTATTTAAGTGGTGTCATGTCTCTGGCACATACAGACAACAGGCTCCGGCAGAGCTGCCTGTATGGGAGAGGAACAACAACACTTCGGGAGCTTGAACTAAAATAGATCCAATGCAGCTTGGAGCAAGATGGATTAGCACAGCTTCCATTATCTCACCTGACACTTGTCCCCGCTGTGTGGAATTTCTTGGAACTATGAGTAAACCGGAGACATTAGCCACCTGCATTGCCAAGATGTACGAGGGGGGTAAATTGGACAATGCTGGGGCCCCTTCTAGAGCAATGAAAAAGCCAACTAACAGCCTGCTGAACAGCCTGGGAGGCATGGAGGTCAAGCTGAATCAGCTTGAGGTTAAGGTGGATCAGATAACCTGCAGGCAGACAGAGGTCCTTAGGAGGCTGGACATGGTGTGCCAGGGTATGGGGACGCTGGGGAAGGACCTGGCCCAGCTCAGAAAGGACAGGGACCCCCAGGCGGGGGACAGGGACTCTCGTGGAGGTGGAGGGGACCCAGCCTTGTTCTCGGAGGTCAGGGTACTGTGTGGGGAGACTGTGGCGCTGCTGAAGAACCTGCAGCAGGAGGGTAAATGGCAACGGGAAAAGATTGAGGGAATCGAGAGCTCGGTTTCGGCCGTGGACAAGCTCTGGGGATATGTGGGGGAAGTCTTCCGAAGCTCCAAGATAGTGGAGTTCATCTTGAAAGGCATCGTGCCCTGGAGGAAACAGGGCCTACTGTACAGCCAAGAGGAGGAGGAGGTCAGTGAGCTCATGCTGAAGCGGGATGGCACATCTTTGCCATTTCAGAACAAATGTTAAGAGTTATTTTGAGTTATGGTATTAACATTTGCTAATAATTTATTTTGTGAGCCATGACTCTGGTTCACCCTTCCCACTTAATTTAACCTTTGGAAAGAATGCAGTGCATTCTGTACAGTGTACAGAGTGCACTGTCATTATGTTTTGTTCTCACACTTTTAAATACTTTCTCATTCAAATGGAAACATGAGTTCAAATGAGTTCATAATTTGCATATAGGATATGCAATTTCATCCTGTTTAATATAATTCACTTCTCCTATGATGTTGTGTAAAATAAAGGGAACGATTTGTCTTTGAAAATGACTAATCCATGCTTTGGGCTTGTGGGAAAGGATTTCAATCTTGGTGATTTGACTACTATAACAGCATCTTTGTTAAATGTTCACTCTTAATAAATGCTCATTGCTATTTTCATAGGGCATGGCCTAACATAATGAGGAAGTATAAGTTGAAGGTGGGCGTTTGTCCAGAAAATGTCCGTTGAAATCCCCAGTAAAAAGTGTTGCTACTATAGTAGCCTTGTGCAAAGTCACTTAACCTGGCGGCCTGTGTCTGACTGTCTGACTGTCTCTAGAATGTTTGTTCAGCTGTTGGGAAACAATATGTAATATTACTACCAAGATAAGGCTGTTTGCTAGCATCAAATCCAAAGTGAAACTGAAGTGAGAGTGATTTTTCCCACTGACTGTATGCTTTCCCCCCAGATCATGACAATTTAGGATAAAGAATCTAGCTTACATACAGTATAATGTATGAAGAATCATTTTTCTAATTCATATCAACAGTAGGTTCTCATCACTGGCATCTTGATATTAAATACTAATGTTTGCTACCACATAAAATAGCCTACTAACAAACCATTAGAAGGCAGATGGAACCAAATGCTGGTCATCTATTTGTTTGAACATAGAATTAGGATAGTCATATTTATTTTATATTTAACTAGACCAATGGAATTTCCAGAAATAGCCATCCCTGTGACCGGGTGTGTGATGAGGTGTGAATGACAGAGTCAGGCGCAGGAGGAAATCCAGAGTTTATTCAGTGTACATGAAAAAAGCGCATTAAGCATAAAAACGAAACTAGCACAAGGGAAACATCCACCTTGGCTACATACAAGGAAAGAGTAGCTCAACCAAGCTACTCACTCTCACAATGAACACTCACAAAGGACAAGGGGGCAGAGGGAACACTTATACACAGACTAATGAGGGAATGAGTACCAGGTGTGTGTGATTGACAAGACAAATGGAGTGATGATAAATGGAGCGGTAGTGGCTAGTAAGCCGGTGATGACGAACGCCGAAACCTGCCAGAGCAAGGAGGGGCAGCCTCGGCTGAATTCGTGACAGTACCCCCACCCCCTTGACGCGCAGCTCCAGCAGCGCGCCGACACTGGCCTCGGGGACGGCCAGGAGGACGCGGAGCAGGGCGAGTCGGATGGCGAAGATGGAAGTCCCTCAACAGAGAGGGATCGAGGATATCCCTCACCGGAACCCAGCACCGTTCCTCCGGACCGTACCCTTCCCACTCCACGAGGTACTGAAGGACCCCCACCCGGCGCCTCGAATCCAGTATGGAACGGTCAGAGTACGCCGGCGCCCCCTCGATGTCCAAAGGAGGTGGAGGGACCTCCCGCACCTCAGACTCCTGGAGCGGACCAGCCACCACCAGCCTGAGGAGAGACATGAAACGAGGGGTTAATATGGTAATCAGGGGGGAGTAATAACCTATATGTGACCTCGTTGATTCTCCTCAGGACTTTGAACGGCCCTACAAACCGCGGGCTCAGCTTCCAGCAGGGCAGGCGGAGGGGCAGATTCCGGGTCGAGAGCCAGACCCGATCCCCCGGTACAAAGACGGGGGCCTCACTGCGGTGACGGTCAGCGTTGGCCTTCTGACGACGCGTTGGAGGTGAACATGGGCAGCGTTCCACGTCTCCTCTGCGCGCCGAAACCAGTCATCCACCGCAGGAGCTTCGGTCTGGCTCTGGTGCCACGGTGCCAGAACCGATTGATAACTTAAAAAACACTGAAATGGCGTTAGGTTTGTAGAGGAGTGGCGGAGAGAGTTCTGGGCATATTCTGCCCATGGCAGGAACACCGACCACTCCCCCGGCTGGTCCTGGCAATAGGACATCAGGAACCTACCCACATCCTGATTTACCCGTTCCACCAGCCCATTACTCTCAGGGTGGAACCCAGAGGTCAGGCTGACCGAGACTCCCAGACGTTCCATGAACGCCTTCCAGACTTTTGACGTGAACTGGGGACCTCGGTCAGACACTATATTCTCTGGTACCCTGTAGTGCCGAAAGACGTGTGTAAACAGGGCCTCCGCAGTTTGCAGAGTCGTGGGCCCTAGGAGGAAGGAGGCGGCAGGCCTTCGAAAAGGCCTTCGAAAAGCGGTCTACAACGACCAGGATGGTGGTGTTCCCTTGAGAGAGAGGTAGATCAGTTTTTAAAAAATCAACACTCAAATGAGATCATGGTCGTTGTGGAACTGGTAACGGTTTTAACTTACCCACTGGGAGGTGCCTAGGTGCCTTACTCTGGGCGCACACTGAGCAGTAGGAAACATACACCCTCACGTCCTTAGCCAAGGTAGGCCACCAGTACTTTTCGGTCAGGCAGCGCACTGTACGACCAATACCTGGGTGACCAGAGGAGGGTGACGTGTGTGACCAGTAGATCAGACGATCACGGATAAGCGCAGGCACGTACTGCAGCCCAGCTGGACACTGCGGTGGAGATGGATCTGTGCGTAATGCCTGCGCTATATCCACATCCATCGCCCATACTACCGGCACCACAATGCATGAGTCCGGCAGTATGGGGGTATTGTCTCTGGGCCTCTCCTCTGTATCATACAGCTGTGACAGGGCGTCTGCCTTCACGTTCTTCGTACCCGGAATGTATGACAGTGTGAATCAAACCGGGTGAAGAATAGGGCCCACCTGGCCTGGCGAGGGTTCAGCCTCCTCGCTGCCCAGATGTACTCCAGGTTACGGTGGTCCGTCCAGACGAGGAATGGGTGTTTCGCCCCTTCGAGCCAATGTCTCCACATGGTCAGAGCTCGGACAACAGCCAACAGCTCCCGATCACCGACGCCGTAGTTCTGCTCCGCCGGGCTGAGCTTCTTTGAGAAGAATGCACAGGGGCAGAGCTTGGGTGGCGTGCCCGAGCGTTGAGACAGGACTGCTCCCATCCCAACCTCGGACGCATCCACCTCCACTACGAACGGTAGTGATGGATCGGGGTGGGCCAGTACCGGGGCCGAGGTGAACAGTTCCCTCAGGTTACTGAAGGCCCTGTCAGCCTCAGCAGACCAGCGGAGCCGGGACGGCCCACCCTTCAACAGAGATGTAATGGGAGCAGCGACCTTGCCAAAGCCAAATATAAACCTCCAATAATAGTTGGCGAAGCCAAGGAAGCGCTGCACCTCCTTTACCGTGGTTGGAGTCGGCTATTACGCACGGCTGAAATGCGGTCGCCCTCCATCTCCACACCTGTGGTAGAAATGCGGTATTTGAGGAAGGAGACGGACTGCTGGAAAAACATACACTTTTCTGCCTTAGCATAAAGGTCATTTTCCAACAGTCGGGCCAGTACTTTGCGAACCAGAGACACATGCTCGGCGCACGTAGCGGAATACACCAAGATGTCATCAATGTAGACCACTACATCACGACCAAGCATGTCCCGAAACACCTCGTTCACCACGGACTGGAAGACGGATGGAGCATTCATCAAACCGTAAGGCATCACCAGGTATTCATAATGACCTGTGGTTGTGTGGAATGCTGTCTTATCCCTCTCGGATACGCACCAGGTTGCACGCACTCCTGAGATCTAATTTAGTGAAGAAGCACGCTCCATGCAATGACTCAACCACTGACGGAATGAGGGGGAGAGGATAACTAAATCTTATCGTCTCCTTGTTCAGTGGTCGATAGTCAATGCACAGGCGCAAACCACCGTCTTTCTTCTTCACAAAAAATAAACTTGAGGAGGCGGGTGAAGTGGAGGGACGTATGTACCCCTGGCGCAGGGACTCGGTGACGTATGTCTCCATAGCCTCCGTCTCCGCCTGCGACAGGGGATACACATGACTCCTTGGAGGTACAACGTCTACCCGAAGGTTTATTGCGCAATCCCCCGCCCGATGAGGTGGTAATTTAGTTGCTTTATTCTTGGAGAAAACTTGTGCCCGATCATGGTATTTGGGGGGAATGCTCACGGTGGAGGCACCGTCTGGACTTTCCACCGTGGTTGCACCAACGGAAACACCAAGACACCTACCCTGACACTCTCGCGACCACCCTGTGAGAACCCTCTGCGGCCATGAGAAAGTGTGGAGTGCTAGCCACGGAATACCTAACACCACAGGGAAAGCAGGAGACTCAATGATGGAAAAAGTGACCTGCTCACAATGCGTCTCCTGTGTGATCATGGTGACTGGTACCGTGACTTCCTTCTTCAACCCAGACCCTAATGGTCGACTATCAAGTGCTCTGATGGGGCGTGGAATGGATAGGGGAACTAATGAAATGCCCTGGTGGTGTGCGAAAGTTTTATCCATAAAGTTCCCAGCTGCGCCTGAATCTACTAGCGCCTTACACTTGGGAACTCTCATGTAATCAGGGAAGTATATGGGTATTGTACAGTGCGCAGCAGAGGGCTCTGAACAAGTGTGGGTGCTTAATACCTGGGGTGATGCGAGAGTGCCCTGCCGGCCGCCTCCTGACCCAAAAGAGCACTGACGACAACGTGTGGTGGAATGTCCCTTCGTGCCATCCGATTGGCACTGGCGCTGTCGTCTTCCGCTCTCTCGGTGCGCGGAACCACCCAGCTCCATGAGCTCTGGATCTGCGTTGGTCGGGGCGGGAACGGCCAGACCTCCTCCAGGATGTCCTCTGGTTGCCAGCAGGTTATCCAGACGAATGGCCATGTCCACCAGTTCGGTAAAAGATAAACTGGTGTCACGGCAGGCTAGCTCCCGTCGGACGTCCTCCCTTAGATGGCACCAGAACTGGTTGATCAGGGCCCGCTCGTTCCACCCAGATCCTGCTGCCAGAATCCGGAACTCCAGCGCGAACTCCTGTACTGTCCTCGTTCCCTGCCTCAAGTGGACCAGCTGCTCACCCGCCTCTCGACCCTCGGGCGGGTGATCGAAAACCGCCCGGAATAGGCGGGCGAACTCCCTGTAGTCCTCCAACGCGGCTCCTCCTTCTCCCAAACCGTGTTGGCCCACTCCAGGGCTTTCCCCGAGAGGCAGGAAATGAGGACGGACACCTGCTCTCGATCTGATGGCGCCGGCCTGACACTGGAGCAGTACAGCTCCAGTTGGAGAAGGAATCCCTGACATAGAGCCGGCGTCCCATCGAACGCCCGTGGTCGAGATATCTGGATCCCTCCGGGTGCTGTGATGTAGGTGGCTGGATCTGGTTGGCCAGCTGGTCTCGACGGATCGGTTCCTCTTCTCTCCAGGCATTGGACGACCTGAAGAACCCGATCCATCGCTTCCCCCAAGCTGGCCAGCATAGTGGAATGTTCCTGGACCTTTGTGACTATTCCAGGCATGCTCTCCTCTCCTGCTGACTCCATAGAGGTGAGTGATTCTGTGATGAGGTGTGAATGACGGCGTCAGGTGCAGGAGGTAAAACACAAAAATCCAGTTTATTCAGTGTACATGAATAAAGCGCAGCAAGCGTCAAAACGAAACTAGCACAAGGGAAAAATCCACCTTGGCTACATACAAGGAAAGAGTAGCTCAACCGAGACACTCACGCTCACAATGAACAATCACTCACAAAGGACAACGGGGCAGAGGGAACACTTATACAAAGACTAATGAGGGAATGAGTACCAGGTGTGTGTGATTGACAAGACAAGACAAGACAAGACAAATGGAGTGATGATAAATGGAGCGGTAGCGGCTAGTAAGCCGGTGACGACGAACGCCGAAACCTGCCCGAGCAAGGAGGAGGGGCAGCCTCGGCTGAATTCGTGACAGGGTGTGGTAACTCGTATATCTAAAGTTTAGTAAAAATATTAGGTACAGTGGGACTTTTAGTAAAAGGGCTTTAGAAATTAAAACATAGCAATGTATTAACCTACGTGACATCAAAGTGGGCCAACCAACTTTCTAATAGAGAATGCAGTGATGAGTACTAAAATTGTCACCTGTAATGATAAACTGCATCTAATGGCTTTAATGAAGTGGCTGCTGTGTTCATATAGATGATGTCGCCATAGTCTAGGACCGATAGGCACGTCGACTGACTAATCTGCTTTCTACTTTTTAGCGAGAGCCAGGACCTGTTTCTATAGAAGAAGCCCATTTCTATTCTCAGCATCTTAATTAACTCATCAATATGCTTTTTTAAAAGACAGCTTTTCATCTATCCAGATGCCCAGATATTTATAAACAGGAACACGATCAATATGGACACCATCCAAAGTGCATATACTTACATCATCAGAGTTCTTTTTAGGCGCTTTAGCAAACATCCTTCCTCCTGTGTGGCTCAGTTGGTAGAGCATGGCATTTGTAACGCCTGGGTTGTGGGTTTGATTCCCACGGGGACCAGTAAAAAAATGTATGCACTCACTACTGTAAGTCGTGTGTCTGCTATGCGATGTAATCAACATATATTTAGTTTTACCTGCAATACTAATTTCAGGTCAATAAAGTTTTTCTGTAATACAATGAAGGCAGACTGTAGTTCAGATAGAGCCTGGTCAACTGTGGAGGCAATAGCATACACAATAGTATCATTGGCATTCAAGTGCAGGTTTCAATTTTTTACAGACAAGTCAATATTGTTAATGTAAACAGTAAAAAATACAGGACCCAGACCCCTGCGGGACACCTTTCGTAATATCCAGGAAACCTGATTTAACACCATCAGTAGATACACATTGAGTTCTATCTGTCAAGTAATTTATTAACCAGTTACATGCAGCCTGGTCTAGGCCAATTGGGGAAAGCCTCTGAATTAGCAGTGAGTGATCAACAGTTTCGAAAGCCTTTGACAGTACCAGATATAATAGTCAGGTAAAAAATATGGGTTAATTATTCAGCAATCAGCGGGGCAGAGAGCTGCAGCAGAAATTGATCAAGCATATCAGCCTCAGTGGATTTGTTTTACATCAATCTTAAGCATGGCATCTAGCACATCACAGATAGTAAATTGTTGAAATTGAAACAAAGATGACGGGTTAACCGTCGAGTCAGCTAGAGGCTGGCAGAGGGAAGAGCAGTCGATTGACTGACCAGGGTCAGTTAAACCATAATTTCTCTCAAATAAAAAGCCTGCCGAGATAAAATGGTGAATAAAAGCATCACTTATCCCTATCCCTATTATCTTCTCAGTTATGATGCCAGAGTCAGACATAACTTGTTTCGGAAGGGATGAAGAGGAATTTGTACGCTTCAGTGCATGTACTTTTTTCCAAAATGTAAAAGGATCACCAGCAGAGTCAGAGATAGAGCTTAAAAAGTAGCTTGACTTAGCTTTCTTAATCGAGATAGTATCTGTTTCTCAATTGTCTGAAAGATTGCCAGTCCACTACAGAGTCAGTTTTCCTTGCTTTGGCCCATGCCTGATTTCTCACCGGAATGAGCTTAGATAGCTCAGAAGAAAACCAAGAGTTAGATCTATCTTTGACTCTGAATTGTTTAAAAGGGGTGTGTTTATCTGCCAGAGGAATAAATATGGAGGATACATTTTCTAGAGCCAACTCAGGGTTAGGAATACAGGAGAGAGTTTAAAATCAATGCATATGCTCTTAAATTGATCTGAGGCCAGGTATAGCCAATCCAGATTCAAATCCCCTAAAATAACTAACTCCGAAGACAGAAAAGGTGTTAAACACTCAGATATAGCACCAAAATAAGTCTTGTAAAACAATGTGGCCTTAATGGCCACACTGTATGCACGCATGACTGTAAGTCGCTTTGGATAAAAGCGTCTGCTAAATGGCATATTATTATTATTATTATTATTAAATCTCTACCCGGTACAGCCAGAAGAGATGCCACTTAGCCCAATATTGGACTAAAGGAGCCTAACGTTACTCCTTACTCCAAGGACCTTACATGTTCTGTTTAAAGGGCGAATTGGCTCTGGAAGCCAAAACAGCCAAATTCTCCATCTAAACGTGAATCGAATCTCTATTTTGGTAAAGGTCTAGAAACATAAATCCTCTACTTTCACATCACTTCAAAATACACACACTTACTGCACACTGTTTTAACCGGTTTAACACAGTTGCAGCCGACAGTATTTTCCAGTGACAACACGTTTGTGGCGTCTGTCTTCCGTTTACACACAGCTGTTCGAAGATGCAGATAGCTAATTAGCACAGGTAGTCCACTCTGTCTACTGTCTGTTTTCCGTAAACAAGCACTGTAACATAAAATGGCAGTGTGGGAACCCTAACCCTATAAAGGTGTGTAACAATTTAACCTTCTGTTTTTTGAAAATTATGACATGAAAGACAAAAATCCTCCCTACAGAAGACGCCTTCGTCCAATGACTCTTATGTGTAATGTAATGGAACTGAGAGTCATGATCAAGGGCTACTAGCCACTGTGCTACTGCCTCTGCATTGCTTTCTCTTAGGGGTTTTAGTCTCGGTATCTGTAAAGAACTTTGTGATTGCTGATGTAAAAAGGGCTTTATAAAATACATTTGATTAATAGATTGAAATGTTGAGTTTTTTTGGGGTGGAGATAGTGTAGATTCATTTAGTGTTAGTAATAGTCTGATAGTATTAGGCAGACAGATGGACTCTATAATGAGAGCCAGTAAGGTATGCTGTGCGAACACAGATCACAACAGCATTGCTTCTTGCCCACCCATGCTATGACCCTGCGGTGTACGTCCAGGCCAGATCCACTGCTGGCATCTCCCAGTTACTCATGGCTTAGTGTAAACAAATAAGTCCAGCTGGGTCGGCCCAGTAGGCATCTGTTATCAGTTATGTGTTGTCATTTCAAATATGCCACACCAGTTCATCATTAATACTAAAAAGACCATGCCTCAATCATACTCCATGCCTCAAGTCCATGCCTGAAGTATTGGCAATGTGGTGATGAGTGGATGTGAACAAACATTTAGATAAGATATTTCAGCTTTTAACTTTTTTATTTATCCTGTTTGCTATATGTGGTTTATCTTGTTCAAACTTCATGTCATACATACTCCTGGAATAGAGCTACTATACCACATTGGAGGTAGAATGATTGTTAAACCTGATTGTGATAAAGTAGTAAGCAACAATATGTATGAAGGATGTTCTCTTCACTCAGAAAACTAAATCAGAAGATAGCAGCGCAAAGCCCAAAGTCACTCTTTGCGACCAGGGGACTCAGGTCCAGGAGGAGGGCTTACATATCACCAGAGGTAAGCTGGACTTGTCTCTGTGTTATCTGTTGGCATTGATACATATTTTTCAGTTAATGTTTTTCAATCAATCAATCAATTAATTAATCAATCAAACATTATTTATACATCACTTTTCTCACATCAAATGCATTTTAAGGTACTTTCAGTCAATGTTGACCAGTTACTGACAACTTAAGGCATTGCCTGGATGTTTTCTGCAAAGTTAATGTGAGTGGGTGGGGATTCCATAAGCTAATGAGTGATTACTTGAACTAATTCCTTCTGGTATATCTGTTGCTGTTATCCCACAGGTGACCAGCAGGCAGTAAAGCTCCCTGTAGAGGAAGCGAAGGCCACAGACCATGGAGTGGAAGTCCCAACTCCTCCTGAGCCTGATCCCTGCAGGTTATCAGAAGCTCTCACAGAGGGCCCTGCAGTGGACGAGGCCTTATTCCCATCTACCAATAGTGATTGGGGTAGTAAAGGATCTCGCAAGCCCAAAGAGGTCACCTTAAAGAGCAGAGAGCCCACCAGAGTCCAGACCTTCGCCCCTGATGTGGTTGTAGCTCAGGAGGAGGTCACCATCGAAGTGCTCTCTGAGCTGAGGAGGTAGGCTGACTGATTCATAACCAATAGAATATGCCAGTTATCCAAAGTGAAATCTCTCTTGTTATTAAGTTATTATTTTTTTATTTTTTTAATGGCAGCACCATTACTCCCAACAGGGTTATGAAAAGTGTGACAGGTGGACCTGTTGAGTTTTTTTTATTTGTTTTAATTAAATTGTATTATTCTTTTTTTAAATTCTTTTTTTTGGGGGTAGATCAGCTTAATATTGCAGATAGATTGTAACTTCCATCATTGTAATTGTCTGCATCACTTCCAATCCCCCATGTTTTTTATATATATACTCCCCTTTATTACTTTTCAACCCCGCCATCCTTTCCCTACTTGGGGTAAATTAGTGAACAACAATGCCCAGGCCTCTACTTCCAGCCTATACTTACTATCTACACCTTATGGACACAGTCAATTTTCCAATAATTCTATTTTATTTGTTTTTGCTCCTGAACTTCTTCTACTCTCAACCTCTCCGATCATTTTCATGATGTCCATCCGGTTTGCTTCTATATGCAATATCTTTCTAACTGTGCTCTTTCTCAAAAGCTCCCAACATACAACCTATATACTTATTATGGACACAGCATGCTTACATTATTAGTTATCTTGTTATTATTTGTTGTTATTAGTTATTAGTCCCATCCTTCAACTCCATTCAACACCTCCCATCTATCTCTTAACACCATCCATATAGGATTTTCTATTTGCCATATATATTTCAACCGTACTGTTGAGTTGACATTAATTGTCATCAAAGAGATCCAACAAAGAACATGCACTCACTGACCTACACTTTCGGCTAGAAATGTGGATATACTAAATGATCCTCAAGCTAAACCCCACTGCTGCCTTTTCATGTTTCTAATGAAAGGGTCTCAAGTGCCAGTGGGCTCTCACACTGAGTAGGGTGAGCAACATGAGGTACATGCTAAAGGGAATACAGAACATCAAAGGGCCCTTCCGTTGTTTCCCATTTTTACATGCCTACTATAAGTGGCATTTCAAGAATGGGGGTACTTAACATGAGAATCAGCATCTGTCACTACTCATAGCCCATAACTCATATTGTTATTATCCATATTTTGACCTGCACTGTTGGAGCCCGGAGCATAATATTTTCACTGTGCCCTACAATTACATCTGTGTCCCTGTACGTGTGACTAATAAACACAATCTAATCTAAAATTGAATCTAATATATTGCTGTCACATTGGTTTCATTAGTTACATATATATTCTGTTTAATTATAATATAATAATAATAATATGCCATTTAGCAGACGCTTTTATCCAAAGCGACTTACAGTCATGCGTGCATACATGTTTGTTTTTTTGTGTATGGGTGGTCCCGGGGATCGAACCCACTACCTTGGCGTTACAAGCGCCGTGCTCTACCAGCTGAGCTACAGAAGAAAAGTGTAAGTCTATGCATTGTTCAAACATTGACTGTTTTGTAATGTTCCTGTGCTGCTAGGACTCCTGATGTGACTAGGATTTCGGTGGGCAGTGAGTTAGACAGTCAGTACAGCAAAGTCAAGGAGACAGAGGTTCCACAAGGTCCAGAACCCACTGCATCTGAGCCACCTTCATCCACCACTGAGGAGCAACTGCCGGAGCAACGGCCGGAGCAGGCCACTGAAAGTGTTCCTCTTCCTTCCAAGGAGGACACTCTCCCCAAAGAAGACTTTACAAATGCTGCAGTCAGTCCTCAGGAACCTGTTATCATTGTAACACCACCAACCCCGTACAGCAGTGCGCTAGCAAGCCCACTGAATGTGGTCACCAAACCGGAGCCAGAGCCAGTAATGATTGTCCCTCAGGTCCAGACTAAGCCTGTGGCAGCCACAGAGCAGCACAAACCAGTTCCACCTCAACCAGAGTCTGAGACAGTGAAAAACTCTGCAAAACCAGTTGTCCCTCAGCCAACTCCCTCTTTAGTTGTTAAAAACTCTACAGCAACTGCACAGGCGGCAGCCCTAGATGCACAACTATTGGTCATAGGTAAGAACGGCAATATCAATGTCATTTTCAGCACAATATGGATTGCACAACGGTATGTTACTGGGTGAAATTCAGTATGAAATATGTCAATCCTCCAATAAGTCCACAGATCATTACCCATACCACCAAGCATATAATAAATCATGCTCCTGTGCTCTTCCTTTCCAGATGACTGCCCACCCTTACCTGCTCCCTTTGAGCACCGTATTGTGAGTGCCAAGCAAGTCCCGATGGGCTCTTATTACGCTGTAAAGCCTAACGAGGTTCTTGGAGGGTGAGTCCTAATTCTTAAGGGCAGCGAGAATGTGTTTACCGTATAGAAAGACTGAGGTGTTGCATATATTATGCCCCCTATTGTTACCCTCCAAACACAACAGACTTACTGTAAGTGAGGGTTACCAACTGTTATTTTACTGCTATAAATACACTGTCAGGTTGGCATCTACCCAATGATATTGGCTGAAAATAGTGATGTAGAAAACACAAGAAGAGCAGCTTGCTGCAGCAGCAGTAACCAGGTGCAGCATTAGCAGATAAACAGGGTTAGCAGACTGACAGTCTGTGCAGTATAGCATGATAGCAGGCGATGGGCAAAGCAGGAAGAGATAGTACATATCAGCAGCAGAGCTGAACAACTGGCAACACAGACAGGGCTAATCCCCCACAGAGTCTGCAAATAAGCACTGGCTTCTTTCATGCTTGTCATGGACAGGGTTTATTTTGGGCAAGTGTTGAGTGACCATTTGCATAGGGGCTTTTTTGAATGTCCATGTTCCATGTAGAGTAGAGGCGCTCTCTCGCTACATAAAGAAGTTGGCTTAGTAAACTCTCCATGTGTGACGGATGATGATATACTTCCAATGAAACCAGAGGAGAAAAACAGGTCCTTGGAGTATGTCTGCAAAGCCCTGACCGAGGTCAACGCAAAGGATACTCCTCAAGGTTGACTGCTTGTGGGTCTGTGCTGTGCTCTTTGGTGCCTTTGTCGGGGTGTATGTAGCCTTGAGTTCTCGCATTTTAAAGGTTGTAACCTGAGGCACAGATTCCGAGAATAACGCGCTGAGAGTCTGTGCCTGCGCGGCTAGGGTGTATGTATGTTCATAATTGTCTATGAACAAATATTTGTGTTCACACCTGTCTCTTTAGCATGTATGTAAAGTATCTATGCACTCATAACTGTCCTTGTTTCCACAGGGGACGTTTTGGGCAGGTCCATAAGTGTGCAGAGCTGTCGTCGGGCCTAATCCTCGCTGCGAAGTTGATCAAAGTCAAAGGAATGAGGGAGAGAGTAAGTGGATATACTACAACAGACCTGTGGTCTTTATACCCCTCCTCTCTCTGACTCCAACCCTGACCTCTCTCTATGTTCCTGTGAAGTTTATTTATGAGGTTCTATGTGAGCAATTCTCCAGCCGCAGCTTAAAGAGATACTCACACGTACAAACGCGTACACACACACACACATGCATACTATCTCTCGCTCTCTCTCTACCTCAAAAACTATGCAACAAAGTTAAAGCTGCAACATGTAACTTTTTGGGTGACCCGACCAAATTCACATAGAAATCAGAGTTATAGATCTGTTATTTTCATTGAAATCAAGTTTAAAGCCGGGTGTACACTACACGATTTTGGCCCTGATTTAGCTGTCCCAGGCAAGTTTGAGATCAGAGCCAAAATCCCCATGTCGTTGCCTACTCGGGGCGTGCGGCCGTCACCGACTCTCATTTAATGTGAGTGGGTCAGAGACACAATCTGAGGGCTACCGATCTCGTCTTTGAGCTGTCCCGATATTTTCAAACGTTTGATTTTATCGGTACAAAATCTGCAATTGTCTTGTAGTGTGAGCTGTGCTATGACAAGTTTTGAGAACGGTGATCAGCAATAGCCAATGAGATGATGACGTTGTTTTGCATTACCCAGAATGTGTAGACTCTCAAGCAGGAGCAATGACTACTAGTATTTTATTTATTTATCCCTTATTTTACCAGGTAAGTTGACTGAGAACACATTCTCATTTACAGCAACGACCTGGGGAATGGTTACAACGGAGAGGAAGGGGGATGAATGAGCCAATTGGAGGCTGGGGATGATTAGGTGGCCATGATGGGATGAGGGCCAGATTGGGAATTTAGCCAGGATACCGGGGTTAACACCCCTACTCTTACAATAAGTGCCATGGGATCTTTAGTGACTACAGAGAGTCAGGACACCTGTTTAACATCCCATCCGAAAGACGGCACCCAACACAGGGCAATGTCCCCAATAACTGCCCTGGGGCATTGGGATATATTTTTAGACCAGAGAGAAGAGTGCCTCCTACAGGCCCTCCAACACCACTTCCAGCAGCATCTGGTATCCCATCCAGGGACCAACCAGGACCAACCCTGCTTAGCTTCAGAGGCAAGCCAGCAGCGAGATGCAGGGTGGTACGCTGCTGGCATAGTACGCATTTGTACCTGTCTTTAACCAAAGCCAAAGTGTCAAATCGTTACACCTATGAAGTTCAGAAGCAATGTTATTCAATTCAAAATGTTGGCTACAAATTTCAACTCTGTATGGCAAGCGTGAATGTCTGACTGAAACCTTTTTTGAGGCTGCTTTGAGCCACAGCTCGTTCTAGCTACATTAACAATCTAATCACATCATCACGTCATTGTTTTCACGAGACAGCGTGGTGGTATCGAGAATCCTCACAACCAAGTGAAGAATCTTGTAGTGTGTGACACCCCGTCTGTGCCAGATCGGTTAGTGTGCAAGACAAATAACCACAGGAAAGACGGTTGTTTAATGTGAGGTTCAGCGATGTTTGGATTTTGAAAGTCGTGTAGTGTACACACGGCATAAGAAGCTATTTCTATGCTTCCCGTTCGTAAGTTTCATTTTTAATTTTGGCTCTGTAAACCAGCTTCAAACAGCTGAAAATACAATATTTTTGGTTATTGAAAATATATTTCACAGCAGTTTAGATGGTACAATGATTGTACACTCTGCATTGCTTGTTTTGTCACATAAACTGAAATTAGGCGAACTATTACAATTTTAGCAACCATGAAATGGTTGATTTATGCATATTGCACTTTTAAAGAACATATATTTACATTTTCTATTCTTACTCTCTCCATTTCTCTTTGACATTCACAGACACACACTCTCTGAGAACGCACACAGCATGCACCTGTGTCCAGGGGCGGTGTGTTCAATAGGGCGATATGGGCGACGCACTGCCAAACGGGAAAAGGAAGGGATTTTTTTTCTAATCAATTATATCACGGCAACAGTAGTTATCAGTGTTGTAATCTAGACGTCTGATCTGCCACAGTGCCACTAAATGTCCAATCAGGCTAAAGTCGTGCTTCAAATGCCCCCCCCCCCCTTTTGGGGCGATTTCAGTCAGGTTGAAAATCGCCCAGAAGTCTGTCATAGACTCCCATGTAAAATCTATTTTTTTCAAATATCAGAGCTTTCAATACAATCTCTATGGGTTTCTGAGGGCTTGCACTTACGCGCTTTCGTCATACGTAACATAACCATGAACGTAACTAAGAAAAGAGCGGGTAGCCTCATCAATCAATTCACTACTACTATCAAAATGGCTAGGCTTCAGTGCAACTCGATTGTGTCTTTGAAAGAAGTTCCTTTTTGTCGGCGAACAAATGAAGATAAATTGGCAACGAAACAATTAGGACCTCCCAGACCAAATTTAATAATTCAACAGGTTTCTACTAAAGGGGGGAAGTCCTACACCCGAGGATTTTCCAAAAATTGGTACGAACGAAAAACCTGGCTAGCAGGCTGCGATGTAGCTAATGCAGTCTTCTGCTACCCCCTGCTTACTCTTTCACCCTGAAGGCGGCACGGCAGACAGCACCGCTTGGACAGCGACTGGTGTGTAACGGACATGCACCATCTTTCAGGAAAGATTAAGAAACATGAGCTGTCAAAGACCCACATGGATAGCTGTTTGAGATTGTCTGCTTTGGGGAGAGTGAACATTCCCACTCAACTGGATGAGGGATACAGGCTAGCTGTCCGCCGCCACAACGATGAGGTTAGTGTTGATAATCACAAGTTTACTGGAGAACTGAAACTGACAAGGCTGACAAGATAGGACCCTTTTGTCCATTGTTATTGGATAGGAACAGAACTTATAACCAGCTCCTGACCTAAATAGATCTTAGCACAACATTTTACTCAACATATCATATTCCATATTCACTATAACAAATATATTTACTACGACATTAGCAAGAACCGCCACATCCTCAGCCGGCTAATCCAGTGTGTGAAGTTTTGCGGAGTGTTTGAGTTAGCTTTGCGAGGCAAAGATGAAACTGAGGGCTCCACCAACCCTGGTAAGCCAACACTTTTGAGATCAGTCAATAAATGCTTCTGGTATTGACTTATATGCTGCCCCTGTCTTCATGTTGTTGCTGGACATATCTTTTTAAAAATGTGTGTAGGTCACCTAAATCATCAGAAAAATTGCCCCCCCTGAGAATTTTTTCAGGAGCCGCCACTGCCTGTGTCTCTTCTCTTACACCAAATCCATCACGGCTCCCGTCGAGATTCATATCACATCCTTAGCCTTCAACATGTGACTCCTATTACACCTGCTAATCACCACACTATCTTTATAAGCACCTTTTTAATTATGTAACTTTGGCATCTCTTCTGACCTTGCCTTTATTGACACATTGAGTGAGTACCACAGAAAGCTGGTACAGAAAGCTGGTATTGAATTTGTGATTAATAATGTATTTCTTAATCAATCAAAAACGTAGCTTTGGGAGTAGAATCTGAGACACTCAGCCATACACTGAGCAAAGTATGATGTTTCTTATGTCCAATATGTGATGTAGTAATTTTGTTCAGAGGTAATTACATGTGATTTCCGAGTTTCTGTTTGATCAGAAGGGCAAATGGCTCTTATGTACTCATACATATCAGAAATATCCACTTTTTATTTGTTTCTTACTGGAATAATACCAGGGTTCAGATAATTTGGGGGGTATTTCAATTACTTTCAAAAAACTTTTTATTTCGATTTCTTTGAATATTGGAATGTATTTGAAAATAGTCAAATACACTGACTCAAATACATGTACACTCCCATGCATTTAACCCAGGTCGGTTACGTATTTGAAATAATGTATTTGGAAATAAGTATTTGAAAATACTTTTAAATAGTAGGCTATTTATAGGAAATTATTTGAAAATACTTTCAAATAATTCCAATATAAGTAGATGATCGGGCCACATTACGCTGTGTTGAAGCCACCATGCCTCCATCTTGGCACTCCCCCACCATTGTAAAAAATATTTTGGAATGCATTTATTAATGTCTACATTCATTTTTGCCACATTTATTCTATTACTGACAACTTAATGTATACTTTTAAATTATAGTATAATTTTTTTTAGGTTACTAATGTTACTGTCCCCACCACAACAACAAAAATACTTAAATACATTTAATTTTGACCTTGAACATTTAATTGAAATTCCATTAATTTCCTATGGAGGATTGTGCCTACTGGGGAGTGCCAATATGGCTGACTGGTGGCTTCAAAGCCTCTCAATGGCCAATACATAGCATCAGCAATCCAGGGTTTATATACATCATTGATTTGAACCCAGGTCTGCATAATACATTGTTCAATGAATGTGTTTAAGGTAAGGTGCCATATACAGTGGTGTCAAAAAGTGTTTGCCCCCTTCCTGATTTCATATGTGTTTGCATGTTTGTCACACTTAAATGTTTCAGATCATCAAACAAATTTAAATATTAGTCAAAGATAACACAAGTAAACACAAAATGCAGTTTTGAAATGAAGGTTGTTATTATTAAGGGAAAACAAAATCCAAACCTACATGGCCCTGTGTGAAAAAGTGTTTGCCCCCTACAACCTAATAACTGGTTGGGCCACCCTTAGCAGCAACAACTGCAATCAAGTGTTTGCGATAACTTGCAATGAGTCTTTTACAGCCCTGTGGAGGAATTTTGGCCCACTCATCTTTGCAGAATTGTTGTAATTCAGCCACATTGGAGGGTTTTCGAGCATGAACTTCCTTTTTAAGGTCATGCCACAGCATCTCAATAGGATTCAGGTCAGGACTTTGACTAGGCCACTCCAAAGTCTTCATTTAGTTTTTCTTCAGCCATTCAGAGGTGGACTTGCTGGTGTGTTTCGGATCATTGTCCTGCTGCAGAACCCAAGTTCGCTTCAGCTTGAGGTCACGAACAGATGGCCGGACATTCTCCTTCAGGATTTTTTGGTAGACAGCAGAATTCATGGTTCCATTTATCACAGCAAGTCTTCCAGGTCCTGAAGCAGCAAAACAGGCCCAGAACATATTTGACTGTTGGTATGATGTTCTTTTTCTGAAATGCGGTGTTACTTGTACACCAGATGTAATGGGACACACACCTTCCAAAATGTTTAACTTTTGTCTCATCAGTCCACAGAGTATTTTCCCAAAGGTCTTGGGGATCATCAATATGTTTTCTGGCAAAAATGAGACAAGCCTTAATGTTATTTTTGCTCAGCAGTGGTTTTCGTCTTGGAACTCTGCCATGCAGGCCATTTTCGCCCAGTCTCTTTCTTATGGTGGAGTCATGAACACTGACCTTAACTGAGGCAAGTGAGGCCTGCAGCTCTTTGGATGTTGTTGTGGGGTCTTTTGTGACCTCTTGGATGAGTCATCGCTGTGCTCTTGGGGTAATTTTGGTCGGCCGGCCACTCCTGGGAAGGTTCACCACTGTTCCATGTTTTCGCCATTTGTGGATAATGGCTCTCACTGTGGTTCGCTGGAGTCCCAAAGCTTTAGAAATGGCTTTATAACCTTTTCCAGACTGATGGATCTCAATTACTTTCTTCTCATTTGTTCCTGAATTTCTTTGGATCTCGGTATGATGTCTAGCTTTTGAGGATCTTTTGGTCTACTTCACTTTGTCAGGCAGGTCCTATTTAAGTGATTCCTTGATTGAGAACAGGTGTGGCAGTAATGCCTGGGTGTGGCTAGAGGAATTGAACTCAGGTGTGATAAACCACAGTTGAGTTGTGTTATAACAGGGGGGGCAAACACTTTTTCACACAGGGCCATGTAGGTTTGGATTTTGTTTTCCCTTAATAATAACAACCTTCATTTCAAAACTGCATTTTGTGTTTACTTGTGTTATCTTTGACTAATATTTAAATTTGTTTAATGATCTGAAACATTTAAGTGTGACAAACATGCAAACACATAAGAAATCAGGAAGGGGGCAAACACTTTTTCACACCACTGTACAGTACATATAATTGGTATGTGTATAAGCACCATCCAGACTGGTTAGATGTTGATGATAGATTGTGATTTTCCTTTTGCTGAGGTTGAGTCACTTCCTATTCTCTCTTCTCTTATTTCCTTATTCTCTCTCTCTCTCTCTCTCTCCCTCTCCCTCTCCCTCTCCCTCTCCCTCTCCCTCTCCCTCTCCCTCTCCCTCTCCCTCTCCCTCTCCCTCTCTCTCTCTCTCTCTCTCTCTCCTCCCAACGGGTAACAAAGGATGAAGTGAAGAATGAAATTGGGGTGATGAACCAACTAAACCACGTGAATCTGATTCAGCTTTATGATGCCTTTGAGTCACGGACAAACCTTACACTTATTATGGAGTAGTAAGTCATTATTCTCATTAAGTCAGTATTTAGAAATTGCAACTCTAATAGCACCTATCTGCATTTCATTTGGGACGGCAAATACTGTTCCAGGCTATAAAGCATTGTTTTAGTAGAATTAACCTCTATGCCACTCAATTTCCTCAGCTCTTCTTTGCTTTTTTGCACAGTAGCACAATATCACTTTTACAGCACTGACCAGCTCCCTGTCTCTGCAGTGTGGAAGGTGGTGAGTTGTTTGACCGGATCGTTGATGAGAACTTCCAGCTGACAGAGCTGGATGCCATCGTGTTTATGAGACAGATCTGTGAGGGGGTACAGTACCTCCATCAGCAATACATTCTCCATTTAGACCTCAAGGTAAAAGTAATATACTATACATAGAATATATTGCAAGACTTGTTAGTTTACATGGATTTTAATTATATTACATATCACCCTGGTGTGAGAATTCTTACATGCTCTCCTTATTTTCTCTCAGCCAGAGAACATTCTTTGTGTCAACTCCACAGGGAACCAGATCAAGATAATAGACTTTGGTCTGGCCAGAAAGTACGTTTCTCAGTATTTTCTCCATTCAGTGACAAGAACTGTATTAATCTACAAATCTCATCTATTGACATCCCCCTTTTTCCATCATCCTGAATTGAGTAGCCAATGAGGTAGCTATGGTAACAGTCACCCAGTAGACCGCTTGGTAAAAAGTAGGCCATCTCTGTAAATCTGAGTCTCCACCCATGACGCTCTGTTGTAAGACGTGAGACCTTTATGATGCCATAGTTCAGATGTGCTTGTCTCCCATCAGGTACAGACCCAGAGAGAAACTAAAGGTCAATTTTGGCACCCCAGAATTTCTGGCTCCTGAGGTGGTCAACTACGACTTTGTCTCATTCCCAACGGACATGTGGAGTGTGGGAGTCATTACTTATATGCTGTGAGTATCACCACACACACACACACACACACACACACACACACACACACACACACACACACACACACACACACATACACACACACACATATACACACACACACACACACAGTGAAACACCTCCGCTTGACAAATACACTCACCACACACCTCTGCTAGGCAGCAGCATCAGTCATACCTTGTAACACAGTGGAAGCTGGTGGGAGGAGTTATAGAAGGACAGGCTCATTGTAATGGCTGGAATGAAATAAATGGAACGGTATCAAACATCAAACATATGGAAACATCGTGCTTGACTCCGTTCCATAAATTCCATTCCAGCCATTACACTGAGCCCGTCCTCCTATAGCTCCTCCCACCAGCCTCCTCTGGTGTAACATGAGGATCTGATCTATTGTAAAGGGTCAACCAATGGTATCCTAGCCACTGGAAACATGCTTGCCATCCATCTATAAACGCATGTTTGTCTCTTGTCACTCACACTAGCACACTGTTCAGCTATGACTAAATTCATACCCACTGCTGCCCCCTCGCAATGTTGTCTGTTAGCCTCAACCATGGCCCTGAATGAACTGTGTGCATCCCAGTGGCGGCCTGGCTTTTCTCAGGACCTGGTAGATTCAATTAATGCTAATAACCTGACAGCTGTCCAAGGAGATTTAGGAGGGTTCGCCCAAAATAAGAATGTGTGACTGTTCCACTCTATGCCGCCAGCTTGCCTGAATACCTAGCACTACCCAGGGATCCATGGTGCTAATTGAATTATTATATTATATTTAGAGTAAGCATCGGTATGTGAGTGTGCTTTGTTTCAATTTCTCTGGAACGTGACACGCACATCTGCTCCTTTGTAACCATTGCCCACAGTCTTTGTGTTGAAGTGTGGTATGGGTCTAAGATTCACAGTCTCAAACTTTGTATTTACATACCTGGCCCATACTTTTCATTCCAGGGCACTGAGGCAGAGCTCTCTGTAGCATCATGACTTTGATGAATGATTTGTCTTTCTTTCTCATGAGGACTATATGAAAATGTGACTAACCAAGAATATCTCACTGTTTTATTAGTCTGAGTGGACTGTCTCCATTCCTGGGGGACAACGATGCAGAGACTATGAACAACATCCTTCATGCCAACTGGGATTTTGATTCAGAGGCATTTGAGAATGTCTCAGAGGAAGCTAAGGACTTTGTTACCAGACTGCTGATTCCAACTAAATGGTATTCCATATCTTCGTTATAATTCATGTTCTATTCATCTATATTGTTTTCCCCTCTTTGTCCTCCAAATTCATGGCCATAGCACCATCTCATTTAGTAAAATGAAAAGGCCTATTGTTTGCGTAAGGCAGGTATATTCCAACTGAATGCACCTCATTGCCACTGAATCACAATCAGACTGTTGATGGTTCATTTTGCCATTTGTCTAAATGGGTTATTTGAATATGTGCCATGAAATCCAAATGAGTTGAGTAAACAGGATATAGAAGGTCACTAGAATGTAGCACATTTGAGTCACATTAAAAACAAACTACACTGCCAGGGCCTGAGTGAGTTGTGTGTGCTCCCACACTGGACTGTTTACTGAGTGGTCAGCTGGCAGGAAACAACGACAGCCCGGATTGCAGATGGCAACAGGCACATTGTCAATATTTGGGACCTTGTTGTTCTTTCTGTGCTGTGTCACCATTAATGACCTGGTCATTCCTAATTGGGGCACTCAGTTGTGTGTTATTCACCCCCACACCCACTATCAGCCATGGTGAAGAGGATCATGGTGTGTTCATCATTAGCCTCTGTCTGTAGGCTACTTTTCTTTCCAAGGAATGGGTACATCTCTGCTTTTAGCAGCAGCTATTTCATGACAGGCTACCAGCATTAGATGAGGCATGGGTTACGGAGAATGTTTTCACCCCATAAAGGCAGCGGCACTGAAAACTCCGTTTAGAAACAGAAAGTGGAAATACGGTTTTGGAAGTTGTGGGAGTTGTATCACAGTTTAGAATTATAGTTAACCAATTATCTTGATGAATGTCCATTTGGGCCGTAGACCTGTGTGTATTGATACCCCTATCCTGGGTCTGTATTGTAGCAGTCGACTCAGTGCAACTGGCTGCATGAAGCATGCCTGGTTGAACAATCTGGAGGATAAAGCCAAATTACACCAGGTGCGGCTCAAGTCCCAAGTCAAGCTCCAGCGCTACCTGGCAGCTCATAAACAGTGGAAGGTGAGGACTGAAGCCCGTTACGCATGTTCCCATGCATCCCTTCATAGGTCTACACATTGCATCTGTGTTACAGTGAATTGTCTGAATCATATTTTTATAAGAAAGTCATCTAAATTCAATTATTCTACTTCCTTGCAGAAACACTTCTATGTGGTTGCTGCAGCCAATAGGCTGAAGAGGTTTCGCCAGAATCATCCAATAAACACTGTATAGCATTGAGAAGACTGCTATCAAAGACTGGGTAGTTGTGCCTCACGTGTATTGCTGCCGTGCTGCACCTCCATGGCAGGCATTCCTGCCATTTTGCTAGTTGGACTGAGGCAACAGAACAGGACGTGATCTGCAACACAGTGTCCGGCGTTGGTATGCAAATTACAATGATGGACATCGATTGAAATGTACTGCAGTATTCTAATAACTTTGTACAGTCTTCCTGTGGGTGATGTTAGTGATTACTAAATTACACAGGGCTCACAGTGCGCTTCAAGCTGGTAGCCTACTACTTACTTTGGTGTAATTGTTTATTTAATGACAAATCTTACATGTTTGAACTGCTTTGCTGAATGTACCATTTTCTGCACATCAAGTTGAAGTCACAATGACACATTCACAAGGCTTTCTTTTTTGGTTTATTTAATATGGTAAGTGAATCTTCACAATCACACAGATGACCTTGTCTTGTCAATCTTTCCTTCTATGAAGGCTTTGAATGTGCCACTTGTTTGCATGCTACACATCCCAACTGACTGTACGGTGTTCCCATATAGCATTATTTTATGACAGTGTCCCCACCTCCACTTGAACTCAGCAAGAATAACTCAATATGACTATAAATGTTAATTTATTAAAATAAGAGAAGCTGCAAAAGGAAACTGTCTTTTACCATTGTCAATAGTCTGGCACAGTGGAAGCGTCATAAAACCTATACAAACACAGAAACAGTTCCAATAGTTTCTGCCATTCATTTTTAACATGGTGAATTTTACAAAAAATCTAATTAATTGTGTTTGGTGTAGGCTTACCTTGGCATGATGTTTTGATAGCCATGTAATTCTCTCGTACAAGGTGAGTTATCAATATATTCGCCTCAATTTACTCACAAATTCATAATGCTTATTATTGATCAAAGTTACCTTGTCTTAGAGAGATTTGTGTGGTTATCAAAACGTCACACCAGGGTAAGCCTACAAGAAACACAGACCTTATATGAAGTCGTTCTAAAATCCCCGATGGAAAAATTAATGGTGAATAAACGATTGGAACCATTTCCGACTCATACTGTGGTACTCAATATTGTCTGTCCAAGGTCAGTCTTCATAAAAACAGTTGATAATGCCAGCTGCCAAATGTTAAGACTGTCTATCATCCACCATAAATTGTGATTTTATAAAATGAGGGAAATTGTAATTAGCCGTTTTAAAACACCACAGAATGTTAATCTTAACTGTACAAATCCAACACATTGACCAGCAACAGCATAGCAGAATTCTTACAGTAGGTCTCATACACGGCCACTAAGTGGCAGACAAGTCAATGTACTGTACGGAATACAAAAAAATCATGCCTGCTTACAAGGGTAAGGCTTATCACAGAAAATAACCATGGTTGAAACAAACCATTTAAAAAAAAATAATAATAAAAACACCCTTTTCAGGTAACCTTCTCCAAAAATCTGAAGTAACTTAGACATGGAGCTCCTATTTGCTTCATTAGCAGACTTGTACCTGCTCATTAGAATTCACATGCAAAGAATACTAGTGCTCCAGCCTCACTACTCAGGACTGTATACAGTATTTTCACGTGCCCAAGCTCGTGAGAACTTTCCCCTTTTTGTCATGGCTGAGCTGACCATCTCTCTTTCTTAATAAATAAACAGCACTACATTTCAAATGGACTTATGCATTGGCTTGTTTGGCTTTAAGGGCATTTTCCAAGATTCTTTGCTTCCACTCTTCGTAATCCTGTGTTGCACTCTCCTCAGAGACCTCTTTTTGCTGTTTTTGAGATGTTGGCAGATTTTCCTCTGAAAGGGAGAGGAGGAAAGGGCCTTGATAGACTGCACAAAATATTCCCTCTAACACTGTTTTAACCCCGCATTACAGCAAAGATTAAGAGTTACAAACTTCTCAGGACATAATCAGGAATTTGGTATAGTTATTATTTGGTCACACTTACCTTCCTCTTTTTGTTCAATACTTTCTATGAGTGTTTTCTGTCTTTTCTGTGCCATTTTAACTGGATTCTTCAGTGGAGTGGCTTCTTCTATTAGGGAGAAAAATCAAGAGATACTTAAAGATCATCCCTGGGAGAGAGGACCACACCTGAACTCACTCTCCCTACCGCCTGCAGACAATGATTTCAGCCACGACATTCCGAGATTTCTTGTAATAGGCATGTTGTATGCAGCGATCGGGATATCCTTGATCGGGAGACCAACGCTCTGTTGAGGTTTTCAGTCCTAAAATAAAAAACATCCACTCTCTCCCACCAGGCTGTAACCACGACAACAAGGAGAGAGAGAGGAATTACCTACATACTCTTTTTACCCAGGAAAGTAAAAATTCTACACAACAAATGGCCACTATGAAAAAGGCCACAATAATTCAAACCCCCAGCTTTCTGAAGCGTATGTCGCAGAAAAAGGTAATGTTAGTTAACAGAACGTTATGGCTCGGAAGTAAGTTTCTAAATCCAAAAGCCCTTCCTGGGCTTTCACCCATTTCCCACCATATGTTAGTCAAACCCCTTTATCATTTGACAGCAGACTTACTGCAGATGTCCTGTCCCAGTTTCTGGAGCTGGGTGCACAGCCTGTCAAAGATTCCCTTTTTAGCACCAGATGATGCTACCAGCTTCCTGTCCACTTTGATCTTCAAGCATCTGGAGAGGTCCATGGGGATAGTGATTAGGTTTAATTAAAAATCAGGTTGAATGGTTTATAAAGAAACAGAATACAGTAACACTCACTTGCATGCAGCGTTCAAAGCAGCTGTAGTGAAGAGGGGTTTTGACAGGTCCACATCTTTCTGCTGTGCAGCAGGAAGGCTTGCTTCATACCTGGAACAAACATGAATTAATCATATTAAATTAACACATTTACATTGACCAACGTTATGATATTTGGGACGGTGTCTTATTCGGGAAAGATGTATAAGACTTGCTGAATATTGCACCTTACAAAATATTTGAAGAATGGTTATGTGTTGGCCAGATGTAGGCTACTCTTCAAGCTCTCACCGTTCTAATATTTGGGTTGCTATTTTGACTGCATCCATGCACCCAAACTGAACAGCAAGGTCTCGGAGGCCCAGGTGAGACTCAAGGCCAAGCATGCATTCTATGGCCTTCAGAGTGCTTTGATACTGTTTCTTGTTCAACCCGGATAATTTGACGGCATATTCCTGAAGAAATAGCACAAAACCAGTTCATAGGGCACGTTTGCTGAGCATTACCAGGACATTTAGTTATTTGATTAACAGGTGAGGTGCCTTGTCATCACAAAGCTAATACAAAAAAACTTACTTTGTCCAGGGGTAACTTCATTGACGTTGCTGCCAGCTCTAGGCATATTACTGCTTTACTTGTACCCGTCGTATTTCCGAGTCCTGTGCATTTAACCAGGGATAACCGCACGTACTCCTCTGCTTGGCTGTAATGTTGATACAAACAAGAGTTTAGGAAACGATATCAAGCAGCTGAATAATAGCAGCTGTTGGCAAGCAGATTAGCTAGCTAGCTCCTGTAGCTACCTAAAGTCAATGGTACATTTTAATTGGACGATGGTCCCGTCTCAAGTATACAAGCTAGCTAATATTATCGTTTTACAGACTCACCGTAGAATTCTTGCAGAGGTTATACCCATTTTAGATGCAAGTTTAGTAAACATTTCTTTTTCCATTTCCGGTAACTAATGAATGTTCGCGACTGCCAACGACAGAATAAAAATCTAACTGCTTTAGTCGAGTTGTCAGACACAAAAACATGCCAAACTTTCGCGGCAAAATTGGCAGACAGACACCACCACGCCTACCAGCCATCTTTCGACATTCTATTGGCTATGACGATGCCACGTCTATTTGCGTACTTGTTGCTGAAAAGAACAACAGCATACACAAACAATTTTTACAAAGGAAATTGAGCATCAAATGTTCTACTCACAATATATTTGCTTTTATCACATTGCAGTAATTTGATCTCCGCTGTCTAAATATTTGCGATAGCGCTACTGTAATTTAGCCAATGGGATACTTATTCCCACACTTTGTTTTCGGCTAAGCCAATGCGGGCGATTCTGTGGAAAGGGTAGCTGAGTCGTCACTAGTTCTTCTTCTTCAGGGGGATTTATCGGCGGTTGGCATCCAACGTTATGGTGCATTACCGCCACCTACCATACTGGAGTGTGGGCCAGAGACAGGGAGGTCGTCACTAGTTATTACAGCCACAAAGTTATAAACCCCGCCCATTCCTACAATTTATCTTCTTAAAATCTTAAACCTAATCCTAACCTCAACCCTAACCTTAACCACACTGCTATGCCTAACCCTAACCTTAAATTAAGACCAAAAAGCAAATGTTTGTTTTCATGAATTTCTACGATGATGACATTGTGGCTGTGGTAACTAGTGGAAACCGGGTAGCTGTGTGGATTGGGTAGCAGTCACATGACTGGGAAACGATTTCAGGGTTAGCTACCAGTTTGCTGATACAAACTTGATAATCATGGTAAGTTAAAATGATAAAATAGCTACACTTTATACTTCTGATTATTATCCATCCAATCCTTCATGATTGTATGACTGAGACTGAGACTCGAAAACAGACTCAAATTGTGGGTGGTGCTAACTAGCTACGGCCTAGCTAAAAGCTACTAGCTGGCTAAGGCTACTGTGTAGGCTAACTGTCAACACATTTAATTTTTGAAGAATCGACCGATTCATTGATGTCTAGCATCTCTTATGGTCGATTATTTCCATCTCTTACTGTTAAGCCACTGATTTCACCAAGTCAAAGGAGCGCAGTTTGTTAGCTACAGTAATATTTTCATGAAATGTCTAGACGTTAGCCAGTTAGTTAGCTAACGTAGCTAGCAAAGATCAGAGATAATACAAATTCAACGTAGCATATGTAAAGCTAGTTGATGGCTAAGGAAAGGTTAGCCATCAGCTGTCAGTCATTGATAATTCATTCTGGTAATGCCAGTATAGCTAGAAATAAACATGGTTAGTGTGAACACAGTGCATACAAATCAGTAGCTAACCACTTGATAGTCTGGTGACTCAGTGCTAGCTTGCAGTCTGCACCTATTACAGTCTTGATGAGGTATGTGACATTTTTTTTCACAATTTCTAATCTTAGGCCATCCAGAGCACTTACATTAGGATAACTATGAATGAGCTAACTCTATGTTTATGTTGGCTTGTACAGTACCACCAATCATTTCAATGTTTTCCTGTGGGCATAGCCAGTTTACTGAACATCTGAGTCAATGTCATGTCTCTGCTCCCTGTAACTGTAAACCAATGTAGCTATAATGGTGGAGTATGTCAGCGTAACATGCATGGCATTCCTCTGAGCTTCTGTGTGCTGTCTTTCAGCCTACCACACAGCAGTCACCCCAGGATGAGCAGGAAAAGCTACTTGATGAAGCCGTGCAAGCTGTCAAGGTCCAGTCATTTCAGATGAAGCGTTGCCTGGTAAGATCTGCTTATTTCCTCCTGTGCGGGTCCCTTTGACTTCCTTCTCTTTTCTGTTAACAATATTGCAAATATGTATTGTATTCTCTGACCCTCATCAGTGTATGAGAGAGACTATGTTACACTACAGCATATTTTGGAGCAGTGTATCAGAGATTAACCTAACTGTACTGGTTACTCATATTGACTTGTTACTTGACTTATTTGATTGCTGACACTTCCATCCGTAGGACAAGAACAAGCTGATGGATGCATTGAAACATGCATCTAACATGCTGGGGGAACTCAGGACCTCCATGTTATCTCCAAAGAGCTACTATGAACTCTGTATCCTTTACCTGCTGCAACCTATGGATCTCTGGTCTAGACATAAATAAATGCACTCTCCTCATTCTCCAGATCATTTGACTGTTCTAGGCAAGTCCATGTTTGGTGTTATTTACAGTTGTGCTATGAGTCCCTAATTCTGAGTGCAGACATGGCCATCTCTGACGAGCTCCACTACCTGGAGGTGTACCTGACAGATGAGTTTGCCAAGGGCAGGAAGGTGGCTGACCTCTATGAGCTGGTTCAATATGCAGGGAACATCATCCCCAGACTGTGAGTACTCAAGCACCCTAATGATTGTGTCAGATAGTGAATAAAGTGAAGTGTAAATGGAAAGCTGCATATGTTCTCTTGTACTAGCCTACTTGTACATGTGATCAATCATGTGACAACAATGCGCTCTTTAGGCAGTGCAAACCAGATGAGGGAGCTTGACCCTAGAGGAATAGGAAACAGGTCAAGTAATGAGCCCCCCCTTCCTCTCTCCCCAGTTACCTGCTGATCACTGTGGGGGTGGTGTATGTTCGCTCCTTCCCTCAGTCGCGTAAGGACATCCTGAAGGACCTGGTGGAGATGTGTCGTGGGGTGCAGCACCCGCTGAGAGGCCTGTTCCTCAGAAACTACCTGCTGCAGTGCACCCGCAACATCTTGCCTGACGACGGGGAGCAGCTAGAGTAAGAACAAGGGAGAATCTTAATTGCATACTCCTTGCGTCCTCTCTCCTCACCTCCTTCACAAAACCCATTGGAGGAGAAGGTCAAAGGGGAGGGACATCTGGCTTTCTCACCCAATGGGTTTTGAGAAAGAGGTGAGGAGAGAGGACACGAGGAGTATGCAATTGAGATTCTCCCAATCTCTCCTCATGGGGCTCCCCTCCTGAGCTGCCCCTCACTCATTCTCATCGACTGATTCCCACTCTCCATCCAGGCCTCGCAGTGTGTTAATCAGACATTGTCATTATGTTGTGTCCGTCCTATTATTGAAAGAGATTTGAGCGCATTGTTTAGCAATCATCCCAGAAGGTGTTTCAATGTGACAGTTCAGTTATTGATTTAATGAAATGGCCTATATACTTCCTTTTGCTATATCGTACTCCACTTAACGAGGCAGAACTTCTGTAACTTTTGGTCCTCGTCTCTTTCTTTCCAGAGGGGAGGATGCGATGACGGGAGACATTAACGACTCCATTGACTTTGTGCTGCTGAACTTTGCTGAGATGAATAAGCTGTGGGTGCGCATGCAGCACCAGGGCCACAGCCGAGACAGGGAGAAGAGGGAGAAGGAGAGGCAGGAGCTGCGCATCCTGGTCGGGACCAACCTGGTTCGACTCAGCCAGCTGGAGGGGGTCAACGTGGAAAAGTATAAACAGGTTTGTGTTTACATGTCTGCATATATATATATATATATATATATATATATATATATTATATATATATATATATATATATACTGCTCAAAAAAATAAAGGGAACACTTAAACAACACAATGTAACTCCAAGTCAATCACACTTCTCTGAAATCAAACTGTCCACTTAGGAAGCAACACTGATTGACAATAAATTTCACATGCTGTTGTGCAAATGGAATAGACAACAGGTGGAAATTATAGGCAATTAGCAAGACACCCCCAATAAAGGAATGGTTCTGCAGGTGGTGACCACAGACCACTTCTCAGTTCCTATGCTTCCTGGCTGATGTTTTGGTCACTTTTGAATGCTGGCGGTGCTTTCACTCTAGTGGTAGCATGAGACGGAGTCTACAACCCATATAAGTGGCTCAGGTAGTGCAGCTCATCCAGGATGGCACATCAATGCGAGCTGTGGCAAGAAGGTTTGCTGTGTCTGTCAGCGTAGTGTCCAGAGCATGGAGGCGCTACCAGGAGACAGGCCAGTACATCAGGAGACGTGGAGGAGGCCGTAGGAGGGCAACAACCCAGCAGCAGGACCGCTACCTCCGCCTTTGCAAGGAGGAGCAGGAGGAGCACTGCCAGAGCCCTGCAAAATGACCTCCAGCAGGCCACAAATGTGCATGTGTCTGCTCAAACGGTCAGAAACAGACTCCATGAGGGTGGTATGAGGGCCCGACGTCCACAGGTGGGGGTTGTGCTTACAGCCCAACACCGTGCAGGACGTTTGGCATTTGCCAGAGAACACCAAGATTGGCAAATTCGCCACTGGCGCCCTGTGCTCTTCACAGATGAAAGCATGTTCACACTGAGCACATGTGACAGTCTGGAGACGCTGTGGAGAACGTTCTGCTGCCTGCAACATCCTCCAGCATGACCGGTTTGGCGGTGGGTCAGTCATGATGTGGGGTGACATTTCTTTGGGGGGCCGCACAGCCCTCCATGTGCTCGCCAGAGGTAGCCTGACTGCCATTAGGTACCGAGATGAGATCCTCAGACCCCTTGTGAGACCATATGCTGGTGCGGTTGGCCCTGGGTTCCTCCTAATGCAAGACAATGCTAGACCTCATGTGGCTGGAGTGTGTCAGCAGTTCCTGCAAGAGGAAGGCATTGATGCTATGGACTGGCCCGCCCGTTCCCCAGACCTGAATCCAATTGAACACATCTGGGACATCATGTCTCGCTCCATCCACCAACGCCACGTTGCACCACAGACTGTCCAGGAGTTGGCGGATGCTTTAGTCCAGGTCTGGGAGGAGATCCCTCAGGAGACCATCCGCCACCTCATCAGGAGCATGCCCAGGCGTTGTAGGGTGGTCATACAGGCACGTGGAGGCCACACACACTACTGAGCCTCATTTTGACTTGTTTTAAGGACATTACATCAAAGTTGGATCAGCCTGTAGTGTGGTTTTCCATTTTAATTTTGAGGGTGACTCCAAATCCAGACCTCCATGAGTTGATCAATTTGATTTCCATTGATCATTTTTTTTGTGATTTTGTTGTCAGCACATTCAACTATGTAAAGAAAAAAGTATTTAAGATTATTTCATTCATTCAGATCTAGGATGTGTTATTTTAGTGTTCCCTTTATTTTTTTGAGCAGTGTATATATAGCTGTACATTTGCATGTACTAGAAGTACAGTGGAACGCTTGACATTAACTCTGAATGCTAATGTTCTGATTAATCTGAAACTGACGTGAAGACTGTAGTTAATATTAATCAGTATGTTTTTTTGCCACTCAGATATTGGCTTGCAAATGTATTCATGTACTTGAATTGAGAGCATCATGCCATGCAGAGGAGAATAGGAGCACAGCATGCATAAAGAGAATAAAGAGCACCTGTAGAATTACATAGGGTTTAGCCTTTGTTGTTTGTCTAGCTGAGGGCGTGGAGACTGGAGAAGATTATCCATGTCAAGCTCTGAGAGGGGTTCTTAACCCTGAGCACCTCTTTTGATGTTTTATTTCTCGTATTATATCTACTTTACCTTAGAAATTATGTTTGGCAAAGAAGGATTCAACATCGGATAAAATATTACATTGAATATGTAGTACAACGTGCAGAAAATAAACAAATACGTAAGTCCCTTATATCTAGAGTGGATGCCCATTGTGTTACATTGTATTTGGGTTATTTTTCTCCCCAGATTGTGCTGTCCGGTGTCCTAGAGCAGGTGGTAAACTGCAGAGATTCCCTGGCTCAAGAATATCTCATGGAGTGCATTATTCAGGTAACTACTGTTCTCATATCAACAGCAGCAACTATGTATGTCATGGTGGGTTTCTTTTTCCAGTTTGTCATTGCGTCAAGGTCTGTAGTAGGAAATGCAACCCATTAACTATTACTGATTCATCACATAGACTGGTCACATGGTAGAGGAGTCACCCTGCTGTCTCTGGCCTGGCTCTTCTCCTCTTCTATAACAGGTTTTCCCTGATGAGTTCCACCTTCAGACACTGAACCTATTCCTTCGTTCCTGTGCCGACCTGCATCAGCACGTCAATGTCAAAAACATCATCATCGCTCTCATTGATAGGTGATGTAATCTCGGCTACATATGATTTCAGTTCAATCAGTACACTACATACAGGATTGCAATTTTCCTTGGTATTGTATTGAAGCCCACTGACGTGATTTGTCTTCTCTGTTTTAGACTGGCTTTGTTTGCTCACCGAGAAGATGGACCTGGAATCCCTGCTGAAATCAAACTGTTTGATATTTTCTCCCAACAAGTAGCCACAGTTATACAGGTAAATGATGGAGAAAGGATTTACTCTTTTTTTTCTCCTCTCTTGGTAATCCATGTTCCCATTGATTTGCTCGTTAGAAATTCCCCTGCAGATATTGTTTTGCTGTATTGATATCTCTCGCTCAAAAGACAAAATCAGGCACAAAATCTAGATCTGGTTTTCCTCTCAGTTTAAGTAATTCAACTGAAGTAGGCTACATTATATGTTATTACATATTTTGTATTTAATGTTTTCCACCCAGTCCCGCCAGGACATGCCTTCGGAGGATGTGGTCTCACTACAGGTGTCCCTCATCAACCTGGCCATGAAGTGCTACCCTGACCGGGTGGACTATGTGGACAAGGTGTTGGAGAGCACAGTGGAGATCTTCAACAAGCTCAACCTGGAGCAGTAAGAGCACTGCCATGTCCCCATCTCAATGTTACATAGTTGATCATCTGGATAGTTCTGGTCCTCCTTTGTTTGGTAGAGGAATTCAATGTGGCATCAGACCAAAGATATACATGAATGGAAATTAAAATCAAATGATATTAGCTGGGGTTACGTTAATGCCGAATTCTGTGTTTTTCACGCAGAAAAAAAGATAAAACGCATAAGAAATATCTTGCTGCGTTTTGTAAACGCAGATCTAAAATGCTTCTTATTTTAATTTCTGCTGGTCATCAGACACATTTTTTACTTTAGTTGCACTTCTCCACTCTGATGAGAATTAATGAACGTGCATTCTAGCAGCAGACAGCACTCTAACTGATGTGTTGCTACCTCTCTCGGTGTAGCCTACTTTTCTATGGTAAAATGCAAGACTAACTTCAAGCAAAACATTAGGAAATGTAGCTGACTACATTATTTCTATGATAAACATTAGAAATACAGTGGGGGAAAAAAGTATTTAGTCAGCCACCAATTGTGCAAGTTCTCCCACTTAAAAAGATGAGAGAGGCCTGTAATTTTCATCATAGGTACACGTCAACTATGACAGACAAATTGAGAAAAGAAAATCACATTGTAGGATTTTTTATGAATTTATTTGCAAATTATGGTGGGAAATAAGTATTTGGTCACCTACAAACAAGATTTCTGGCTCTCACAGACCTGTAACTTCTTCTTTAAGAGGCTCCTCTGTCCTCCACTCGTTACCTGTATTAATGGCACCTGTTTGAACTTGTTATCAGTATAAAAGACACCTGTCCACAACCTCAAACAGTCACACTCCAAACTCCACTATGGCCAAGACCAAAGAGCTGTCAAAGGACACCAGAAACAAAATTGTAGACCTGCACCAGGCTGGGAAGACTGAATCTGCAATAGGTAAGCAGCTTGGTTTGAAGAAATCAACTGTGGGAGCAATTATTAGGAAATGGAAGACATACAAGACCACTGATAATCTCCCTCGATCTGGGGCTCCACGCAAGATCTCACCCCGTGGGGTCAAAATGATCACAAGAACGGTGAGCAAAAATCCCAGAACCACACGGGGGGACCTAGTGAATGACCTGCAGAGAGCTGGGACCAAAGTAACAAAGCCTACCATCAGTAACACACTACGCCGCCAGGGACTCAAATCCTGCAGTGCGAGACGTGTCCCCCTGCTTAAGCCAGTACATGTCCAGGCCCGTCTGAAGTTTGCTAGAGTGCATTTGGATGATCCAGAAGAGGATTGGGAGAATGTCATATGGTCAGATGAAACCAAAATATAACTTTTTGGTAAAAACTCAACTCGTCGTGTTTGGAGGACAAAGAATGCTGAGTTGCATCCAAAGAACACCATACCTACTGTGAAGCATGGGGGTGGAAACATCATGCTTTGGGGCTGTTTTTCTGCAAAGGGACCAGGACGACTGATCCGTGTAAAGGAAAGAATGAATGGGGCCATGTATCGTGAGATTTTGAGTGAAAACCTCCTTCCATCAGCAAGGGCATTGAAGATGAAACGTGGCTGGGTCTTTCAGCATGACAATGATCCCAAACACACCGCCCGGGCAACGAAGGAGTGGCTTCGTAAGAAGCATTTCAAGGTCCTGGAGTGGCCTAGCCAGTCTCCAGATCTCAACCCCATAGAAAATCTTTGGAGGGAGTTGAAAGTCCGTGTTGCCCAGTGACAGCCCCAAAACATCACTGCTCTAGAGGAGATCTGCATGGAGCAATGGGCCAAAATACCAGCAACAGTGTGTGAAAACCTTGTGAAGACTTACAGAAAACATTTGACCTGTGTCATTGCCAACAAAGGGTATATAACAAAGTATTGAGAAACTTTTGTTATTGACCAAATACTTATTTTCCACCATCATTTGCAAATAAATTCATTAAAAATCCTACAATGTGATTTTCTGGATTTTTTTCTTCTCATTTTGTCTGTCATAGTTGACGTGTACCTATGATGAAAATTACAGGCCTCTCTCATCTTTTTAAGTGGGAGAACTTGCACAATTGGTGGCTGACTAAATACTTTTTTCCCCCACTGTATAATGGCCATGCATCGTTTTTGCAAAACATACCTTGCTTTTTCATGCCAAATAGTGTTCCACTTCTGTTGTCATCTGATGAAAATGAAGCTATTTTCTGCCGAATGTGTTGCACTAATGTAGTTTCTTTTGAAGGAAAACTATAGTTGCACACCCCTGATCACTATTGAAGCAAAAAATCACTGTTGACTTACAATATAAATCACAGGTGAAATGGTGTAAATTGCATGTTTTTTGATGGTCTGCGTTTAGAAAATGCAGATTTCTGAACTCTATGAGTTGATTAGTTTATCATAGCCTATGCCTATGAGACCCAGCCTGCTGTGAAGTACTAAAGCTTTCAAATGTCTACCTATTCTGTAGTATCTTGCATTAAAAGCTTGCTGAACAAACAACCCCTAGACGGTAGAAAAACCTAATTCTTCAGCAAAGTGCTAGAGTAGGCTACAGCGCTTTGTTCAGCCATACTTGAGACGGAATAGTTCACAAATCTGAAAAGAAAGCCGGTTGCAGAGTACATTTTCTCATCAAAGCACTAACGAATAGAAATAATAAATTAATAGTGAAAAGTTTATTATCCCAATCTATGATCTCAAATCTCTGTAAGAAGTTTTAGGTAATGGCTTAATGAATTTCCCTTTTTGCTTTAGACCAAAAATAGATACAAATGCATTTGTTTTGCAGCCATCATGTGATGTTTGGAAGTTAATATATTTTCATAGATAGCTGTCAAAGGTAACTGCTGTAGCTACTGCAGTATTTTCATTCTCAACTCTATTGTCTCCCCCCTTTTCAAAGCATTGCAACCAGTAGCGCGGTCTCGAAAGAGTTGACTAGGCTGCTGAAGATCCCAGTGGACACCTACAACAACATTCTGACTGTTCTGCAGCTTAAGCACTTCCCTCCACTCTTCGAGTACTTTGATTATGAGTCCCGCAAAAGCATGAGCTGTTACGTTCTGAGCAACACTCTGGACTACAACACCACCATTATATCCCAGGAGCAGGTCAGTACACACACCAACATACACACACACATACACACACACACACACTGATATGTGCTACTTACTTATATTTTTGCACGTTACACGTTGAGCTGTGTTCTTTTTCATAAGTGTTTTCTTGTTGTTTGGCTCTTTTTTACCTTACTTTATCTGTTTAGGTAGGCATCAACAAAAGGCTCTTTGTATTGTATCCTTCCAAGCAGTCTGCCTACTTATTTTCATCAACTCTCTTCAAGATATTGGCTGTTCAAGTCATAATAACCTTTTCTATTTGGAAAAGGTCAATGTGAACCATGATTCAGAGCTCTTAGTGGGACTCCAGGAGAACATTGATTTCCCAGTAATGCACCAGGAGAACATAGATTTTCCAGTAATGCCATAAGAGGCCTTTTTAAAAGCCTTTCTCTCAAACGTACCTTTTTGACCATTATATAACTTCAACTCTATTATAATACACTTGCAGTCTGTTTATTTTTGTTGCTGCTATTGCCCTCTCGAGTCTGCTCAAGAAGGCTTATTGATGTAGCCTCCTGTAGCTCAGTTGGTAGAGCATGGTGCTTGCAGGGTTGTGGGTTCGATTCCCACGGGGGGCCAGTATGAAAAATGTATGCACTCACTAACTGTAAGTCGCTCTGGATAAGAGCATTTGCTAAATGACTAAAATGTAAAAATACAGTGCCTTCAGAAAGTATTTACACCCCTTGACTTTTTACACATTTTGTTATGTTACAAAGTGGGATTTTTTTGTTTATTTAATTGCATTTTTTTCATGTCAAAGTGGAAAATTCTATGATTTTGAAATTGTTTAAAAAAATATATATATAAATATATACACTACCATTCAAAAGTTTGGGGTCACTTAGATATTTCCTTGTTTTCCATGAAAACATACATGAAATGAGTTTGAATAGGAAATATAACAAAATGCATAGGAAATGTAGTCATTGACAAGGTTAGAAATAATGATTTTTAATAGAAATAATAATTGTGTCCTTCAAACTTTGCTTTCGTCAAAGAATCCTCAATTTGCAGCAATTACAGCTTTGCAGACCTTTGGCATTCTAGTTGTCAATTTGTTGAGGTAATCTGAAGAGATTTCACCCAATGCTTCCTGAAGCACCTCCCACAAGTTGGATTGGCTTGATGGGCACTTCTTACGTACCATACGGTCAAGCTGCTCCCACAACAGCTCAATAGGGTTGAGATCCAGTGACTATGCTGGCCACTCCATTATAGACAGAATACCAGCTGACTGCTTCTTCCCTAAATAGTTCTTGCATAGTTTGGAGCTGTGCTTTGGGTCATTGTCCTGTTGTAGGAGGAAATTGGCTCCAATCAAGCGCCGTCCACAGGGTATGGCATGGCGTTGCAAAATGGAGTGATAGCCTTCCTTCTCAAGATCCCTTTTACCCTGTACAAATCTCCCACTTTACCACCACCAAAGCACCCCCAGACCATCACATTGCCTCCACCATGCTTGACAGATGGCATCAAGCACTCCTCCAGCATCTTTTCATTTGGTCTGCGTCTCACAAATGTTCTTCTTTGTGATCTGAACACCTCAAACTTCGATTTGTCTGTCCATGACACTTTTTTCCAATCTTCCTCTGTCCAGTGTCTGTGTTCTTTTGACCATCTTAATCTTTTCTTTTTATTGGCCAGTCTTTGATATGGCTTTTTCTTTGCAACTCTGCCTAGAAGGTCAGCATCCCGGAGTCGCCTCTTCACTGTTGACGTTGAGACTGGTGTTTTGCGGGTACTATTTAATTAAGCTGCCAGTTGAGGACCTGTGAGGCGTCTGTTTCTCAAACTAGACACACTAATGTAGTTGTCCTCTTGCTCAGTTGTGCACCGGGGCCTCCCACTCCTCTTTTTATTCTGGTTACAACCAGTTTGCGCTGTTCTGTGAAGGGAGTAGTACACAGCGTTGTACGAGATCTTCCGTTTTTTGGCAATTTCTCGCATGGAATAGCCTTCATTTCTCAGAACAAGAATAGACTGATGAGTTTCAGAAGAAAGTTCTTTGTTTCTGGTCATTTTGAGCCTGTAATCGAACCCACAATTGCTGATGCTCCAGATACTCAACTAGTCTCAAGAAAGCCAGTTTTATTGCTTCTTTAATCAGCACAACAGTTTTCAGCTGTGCCAACATAATTGCAAAAGGGTTTTCTAATGATCAATTAGCCTTTTAAAATGATAAACACGGATTAACAAACACAACTTGCCATTGGAACACAAGACTGATGGTTGCTGATAATGGGCCTCTGTATGCCTATGTAGATATTCCATTAAAAATCTGCCGTTTCCAGCTACAATAGCCATTTACAACATTAACAATGTCTACACTGTATTTCTGATCAATTTGATGTTAATTTAATGGACAAAAAAATTGCTTTTCTTTCGAAAACAAGGACATTTCTAAGTGACCCCAAACTTTTGAACGGTAGTGTATATATCTTGATTAGAAAAGATGAGAGAGGCCTGTAATTTTCATCATAGGTACACGTCAACTATGACAGACAAATTGAGAATTTTTGCCAGAAAATCACATTGTAGGATTTTTAATGAATTTATTTGCAAATTATGGTGGAAAATAAGTATTTGGTCACCTACAAACAAGCAAGATTTCTGTCTCTCACAGACCTGTAACTTCTTCTTTAAGAGGCTCCTCTGTCCTCCACTCGTTACCTGTATTAATGGCACCTGTTTGAACTTGTTATCAGTATAAAAGACACCTGTCCACAACCTCAAACAGTCACACTCCAAACTCCACTATGGCCAAGACCAAAGAGCTGTCAAAGGACACCAGAAACAAAATTGTAGACCTGCACCAGGCTGGGAAGACTGAATCTGCAATAGGTAAGCAGCTTGGTTTGAAGAAATCAACTGTGGGAGCAATTATTAGGAAATGGAAGACATACAAGACCACTGATAATCTCCCTCGATCTGGGGCTCCACGCAAGATCTCACCCCGTGGGTCAAAATGATCACAAGAACGGTGAGCAAAAATCCCAGAACCACACGGGGGGACCTAGTGAATGACCTGCAGAGAGCTGGGACCAAACTAACAAAGCCTACCATCAGTAACACACTACGCCGCCAGGGACTCAAATCCTGCCGTGCCAGACGTGTCCCCCTGCTTAAGCAAGTACATGTCCAGGCCCGTCTGAAGTTTGCTAGAGTGCATTTGGATGATCCAGAAGAGGATTGGGAGAATGTCATATGGTCAGATGAAACCAAAATAGAACTTTTTGGTAAAAACTCAACTCGTCGTGTTTGGAGGACAAAGAATGCTGAGTTGCATCCAAAGAACACCATACCTACTGTGAAGCATGGGGGTGGAAACATCATGCTTTGGGGCTGTTTTTCTGCAAAGGGACCAGGACGACTGATCCGTGTAAAGGAAAGAATGAATGGGGCCATGTATCGTGAGATTTTGAGTGAAAACCTCCTTCCATCAGCAAGGGCATTGAAGATGAAACGTGGCTGGGTCTTTCAGCATGACAATGATCCCAAACACACCGCCCGGGCAACGAAGGAGTGGCTTCGTAAGAAGCATTTCAAGGTCCTGGAGTGGCCTAGCCAGTCTCCAGATCTCAACCCCATAGAAAATCTTTGGAGGGAGTTGAAAGTCTGTGTTGCCCAGCAACAGCCCCAAAACATCACTGCTCTAGAGGAGATCTGCATGGAGGAATGGGCCAAAATACCAGCAACAGTGTGTGAAAACCTTGTGAAGACTTACAGCAAACGTTTGACCTGTGTCATTGCCAACAAAGGGTATATAACAAAGTATTGAGAATCTTTTGTTATTGACCAAATACTTATTTTCCACCATAATTTGCAAATAAATTCATTAAAAATCCTACAATGTGATTTTCTGGAAAAATTTTTTCTCATTTTGTCTGTCATAGTTGACGTGTACCTATGATGAAAATTACAGGCCTCTCTCATCTTTTTAAGTGGGAGATATTCAACCCCATGAGTCAATACATGTTAGAATCACCTTTGGCAGCGATTTACAGCTGTGAGTGTTTTTGGGTAAGTCTCTAAGAGCTTTGCATACCTGGATTGAACAATATTTGCCCATTTATTCTTTTTTAAATTCTTCAGGTTCTGTCAAGTTGGTTGTTGATCATTTGCTAGACAGCCATTTTCAAGTCTTGCCATAGAGTTTCAAGACAATTTGGCAAAACTGTAACTAGGCCACTCTGGAACATTCAATGTCTTCTTGGTAAGCAACTCCAGTGTACGCTACTGGACAAAAGTTTTAGAACACCTACTCTTTCAAGGGTTTTTCTTTATTTGTACTATTTTCTACATTGTAGAATAATAGTGAAGACATCAAAACTATGAAATAACACATATGGAATTATGTAGTAACAAAAAAATTTTTAAACAATTCAAAATATATTTTATATTTGAGATTCTTCAAATAGCCACCCTTTGCCTTGATGACAGCTTTTTATCCTAAATAACTCCCTAGTCCTTCCTGATGACAAGCATGCCCATAACATGATGCAGCCACCACCATGCTTGAAAATATGAAGAGTGGTACTCAGTGATGTCTTGTGTTGGATTTGCCCCAAACATAACTCTTTGTATTCAGGACAAAAAGTTAATTTCTTTGCCACATTTTAAGCAGTATTTCTTTAGTGCCTTATTGCAAACAGGATGCATGTTTTGGAATATTTTTGTATTCTGTACAGGCTTCCTTCTTTTCACTCTGTCATTTAGGTTAGTATTCTAGAGTAACTACAATGTTGTTGATCCATCCTCAGCTTTCTCCTATCACAGCCATTAAACTGTTTTAAAATTAACCTCATGGTGAAATCCCTGAGCGTTTTCCTTCCTTTCCGGCAACTGCGTTAAGGAGGACGCCTGTATCTTTGTAGTGACTGGGTGTATTGATACACTATCCAAAGTGTAATTGATAACTTCACTATGCTCAAAGGGATATTCAATGTCTGCTTTTTTTTTAAACTTTCATTCCATGCAACTTGTTAAGCACATTTTTACTCCTGTACTAATTTAGGCTTGACACAACAAAGGAATTGAATACTTATTGACTCAAGACATTTAAGATTTAAAGCAAAAGTCCACTTTTACATTATGGGGTATTGTGTGTGTAGGCCAGTGACACAATCTCAATTTGATCACATTTTATTTCAGGCTTTAACAACAATATGTGGAAAAAGTCAAGGGGTGTGAGTACTTTCTGAAAGCACTGTAAATATCTCACTGCTGAAGCAACGCTTTCTCTCTCCCTCAAGGTGGATGCCATCCTGACCCTGGTGTCGACACTGATCCAGGACCAGCCAGACCAGCCCGCTGAAGACCCAGACCCAGAGGACTTTGCTGAGGAGCAGAGCCTTGTGGGTCGCTTCATCCATCTGCTGCTTTCCGACGACCCTGACCAACAGTATCTGGTAAGCTTTGCTTCTCATACAGTTGAATTCCGTCACAGTATCCATGTGTTTTCAGGAGATGTGTTTTATGGCATATGTTAATGGAGGTCTCCGTCATGTTCTTCAGATCCTGAATACAGCCAGGAAGCACTTTGGTGCTGGGGGGAACCAGAGGATTCGCTACACTCTTCCACCGCTTGTGTTTGCTGCCTATCAGCTGGCTTTCCGCTACAAAGAGAACTCTTCATCAGTACGTCACGTAACCCTTCCCCTAACTATACTGAACAAATATATAAACGCAACATGTAAAGTGTTGGTCCCATGTTTCATTAGCTGAAATATAAGATCCCAGAAATGTTCCATACACACAAAAAGCTTATTTATCTCAAATGTTGTGCACTAATTTGTTTACATGCCTGTTAGTGAGCATTTCTCCTTTGCCAAGATAATCCATCCACCTGACAGGTATGAGATATAAAGAAGCTGATTAAACAGCATGATCACTACACAGGTGCACCTTGTGCTGGGGACAATAAAATGCCACTCTAAAATGTGCAGTTTTGTCACACAACACAATGCCACAGATGTTTCAAGTTTTGAAGGCGCGTGCAATTGGCATGCTGACTGCAGGAATGTCCAACAGAGCTGTTGCCAGAGAATTGAATGTTCAGTTCTCTACCATAAGCCGCCTCCAACGTCGTTTTAGAGAATTTGGCAGTACATCCAACCGGCCTCACAAGCGCAGACCACGTGTAACCACGCCAGCCCAGGACCACCACATCCGGCTTCTTCACCTGCGGGATCGTCTGAAGAGGGGGTGCTGAGAAGTATTTCTGTCTAAGAAAGCCTTTTTGTGGGGAAAAACTCATTCTGATTGGCTGGGCCTGGCTCCCCAGTGGGTGGACCTGGCTCCCAAGTGGGTGGGCCTACGCCCTCCCAGGCCCACCAATGGCTGGGCACCCTGCCCAGTCATGTGAAATCCATAGATTAGGGGCTAATTAATTTATTTCAATTGACAGATTTCCTTCTATGAAGTGTAACTCAGTAAAATCTTTGAAATTGTTGCATGTTGCGTTTATATTTTTGTTCATTATACATATAGTTTTGTTACAAAGTTAGGAAGAGGATGATTTATGATAAACAGGAAGGTGGATTTTAACTGTTTATTCTTTGTTGAACACGTCCCACAGGATGATAAATGGGAGAAGAAGTGCCAGAAGATCTTCTCGTTTGCCCACCAAACCATCAGTGCTCTGATCAAGGCTGAGCTGGCTGAGCTGCCCCTCAGACTCTTCCTACAGGGGGCGCTGGCCGCAGGAGAGATTGGCTTCGAGAACCACGAGACTGTGGCCTACGAGTTCATGTCACAGGTACAGGGAACAAAATGGGTTGAGAATGTGAAATATTGGAAAGAGGGAGGGAGAGGGGTCACTGCCCCTCTTCGCCTTAGGTTTACTTGTGCCCTGTGTTGGCAGCATTGATCCATTTCACAGTCAGATTTCACAGTCAGGAATACAACTGTCCCCCCCCCCCCCCCCCCCCAGGCCTTCTCCCTGTATGAGGATGAGATCAGCGACTCCAAGGCTCAGCTAGCAGCCATCACGCTGATCATCGGCACATTTGAGAGAACGAAATGCTTCAGCGAGGAGAACCACGAGCCTCTGAGGACACAGTGTGCACTCGCCGCCTCCAAACTGCTCAAGAAGCCAGACCAGTGTCGGGCCGTCAGCATCTGTGCACACCTCTTCTGGTCCGGACGCAACACTGAAAAGAATGGAGAGGAGGTGGGGGTTGTGATCACAAAGAGGATAAATATATAATTATTGTGTAAAATACAGTGCAGTACTAAAGAGGATGGTGTCACCATAGCAACAGGACATGCAGTCTTGAGACTGATTGCCTTGCTTTGTCTTCTGTTCTGAAAGAAATCCCCATATGACAAGCAGGGTTGTAATTCTAAGGTTCCTTGTGTATAATGATATACATAATCAGAGTATTGAAGCGTGGGAAATGCAGTAAGAGGTTCTCTTTGTTCTATGATTGGCTGCTGCTTAAGTGATAACGAACACATAACACTTATATTCTGAGTTTCAACTTCCTCTTTCTTCATTACAGGTGAATGCGTGGTAGAAGAGTTTTACACCTCAACTGTGTCTCTGTCCTCAGATTCGTGACGGGAAAAGGGTGATGGAGTGCTTAAAGAAGGCCCTGAAAATTGCCAACCAGTGCATGGACCCGTCATTGCAAGTGCAGCTCTTCATTGAGATCCTGAACAGATACGTCTGTTTCTACGAAAGAGAGAATGATGCGGTATGTGCATATTTCTTCCCTCTTGTCCTCCTCGTCTGTACTACCACTCATTCCTGACACGCCTTTTCAGAACCAGGCCTGCATAATGAAATCCTGACATATTTTCAATGCACTTCAAGTGCAGACGGTCACATTGAGCTGCCTGGAGAGAAGCCATCCAATCTCCCCTGTTCTCTGAGTTTATTGGAACCGTGTTGGGACTTGCTAGGACACCAAGGGGACGCCCACTCTTGGGTGGTTATTTACCAGCGCAGCAAGGAGGGAAGGACAGGAGACAGGCTACAGCTCACCCACCCACTCTCCCCAGACATACACCCCATATGCCGCTTAACAGCTAGACAGGGTACTAGGCCTCCAGGGACTGAGAACGGGCTCCATAGTCAGGACAATTTGAGACACTGACATAATTTCTTCCCCTAAATCATTATAGAACTTTTGTCTTATAACTTAGTATATTTCTGCATATCTAGGTAATACATTGTTCTTTTTTTTCTCACCTATTTCAACCCATTTTGAAATTATTATTTAAAATCATTAAATGTCTTGATCCCCTGTAGGTGACGGTCCAGGTTCTGAACCAGCTGATCCAGAAGATCAGAGAGGACCTGCCAAACCTGGAGGCCAGCGAGGAGACGGAGCAGATCAACAAACACTTCCACAACACACTGGAGCACCTGCGTCTGCAGAGAGAGTCGCCGGAGGCCGAGGGGCCTGCTTATGAGGGCCTGGTGCTGTAGGGCTCGCTACACTTATAAATATATATATATATTTACACACACAGACACATGTACACTCACACCAGGGTATTCCATCCAGTGGGAAAAATATGCCAACCCCACCAACAACACCTGCCTTCCATCTCGCTCTTTCTTTCTATCCTTTTCTTCTCTCACTCTTTCCTTCTATCATCCCCCTTTATTTCATGTTACCTTTTTTAGCATAAGGTGTTGCATTTAAAGGTGTTGCTTTTGAGAATACATGGTGTACAGGCTGCACTTTGCCTTGCACTTCCTGCGTGTTGTCAGTCCTTCATATTTGACCATTCCTGTTGTCCATCGTCATCCTCAGAAGGCGAAGATCTAGCCATTTAAAAGCTTAAAGTTTAAACTTTGACCCCTACTCATATCTGTCTGTGCGTCCTCATGATTTAATGGTCATGCAGAATAATTAAATAATGCCTGTCATTACTAGGTCGTACTGGGGAGAGTTATCCCATTGACCTTACGCTGTGACCCAACAACCCCTTCTCCACGGACTAACACCTGGGCAGTCGGCTGTAGATTTTTCTTTGCCCTCCTCTCTCTCTCTCTCCTCAACGGCTTCACTCATTTAGCTTGAGCTTTTTTTATTTCTGGTTGCAGCCTTACTTCTGTGGCTGACAGCCATTTGTAGAGAGTTAAGCGGCGTGTGTTGGTGCATGCTTTTACATAGACCTGCTCTGGATATCGCGATGAGTGGTAGGAGGAACTGATGTGTATGATACCCCTTTGTCACTGGAGCTACTACAGTGGCAACTAACCTTAATTTCTTAGATGTCCACATTGATTAAAAGATCTCTGTTGGGGGTGGGTTCTATTAATCTTGTCTTCTGGATTTTGAACCCTGTGTATTGTATGTTTAACCTACTTGTAAATCAGCAAAAACAGAATAAATATCATGTCATTTGCACAAATAAACAAATTGATATTAACCCTACATGTCTATAACTTTATTAGTGTCCATCTTCTGTTATGCTGCAGATTACTAGCCTCTGGTTTTGAATAAATATTGAGTCATTATTATTACTGAATTGATGCACTGAAGTGCAAATAAGGGGAGATTCACATTAGTGAATGGATTGACACTTGTTTACATAATGTCTCACTGGGTGCCATTATGAAAGACAGACAAGGTAATTAGCAAGTTTATCTTTTTAGAAACACTATTTCTGTGTTTTCTACCATTCAGTATGATATAGATGGTCAAGGTTGTGTTGTGAGTTGTGGCTCATGCTTAACAGATGAGGTCCAATTAGCTATCTACTGACTACGGCCGTTATCGAGTTTTATTTAATCCGTTGCTAGGTGACTGTTCAATGGAGACAGTCTCTCGTTGATGGCCAAAGGAATAACAATCACGGTTGAAAACACGTTTTTCTTTGTCATTTAGCTAAATGTTGGTGCCTATATAAAGGCAAACATACTGTATGTGTTACATAAGGTTGTGTGTTTGCGAAAAGGTTTTGAACACTGGTGCCTGATGTCTAAGTTAGATGCCAGGGTATGGAACATAGTGGAGGCGAGCTGTTGCATGTATTTATTGTTCAACTTAAAACAGACATTACATTTGTTGTAAGATAACTAATACACTTTGTAAGATCTGCAAACACGCAAAGGCTACACATAAATACAAAACAATATTCATGGAGACCATCTGTACCCAGTTAAGTGCTCTGCAACACTCATACCAGCTTTCCACCTACACTGACATGAGACAACTGATTATGTAAAACTGTCAGAACAAGGCCATCATTGTCAGTGCAAGTTGGTCATGCTTAATACATTTGTTCCATATACTGTGGCTGAATTTTAATCTTGGTGGTACAAAGCAGTTTTCTGAAAGCCTTTCTGAAGCTGGTATGACACAGCGGGTAAAGGACAGGGTTGATGGAGGAGTTGACCCACAGTAGCCAGAAGGAGATTTCATACAGGTAGTGCTGGACACATTGGGCATGGCACACTGCACGGATGATCATTAACAGTGTGTAGGGAGCCCAGCACAGGCCAAATACACACACAATCACTGCAAGTGACTTGGCAACCTTCTTGTCCTTTGAGAGACGAAAACGACTTGCAGCTACTTCAGATCGGCTGCGCTGTTTACTGAACGAGTGCTCCGCAGACTGGAACCGCGTCCTCCTGGAATGCTGGACCATATCGCCCACTTGCAGTGGAGGAAGGTCCAGAATAGTGCTGTCCTTACTTCTCTCATGGTTGCTGTTCCCAGTTACTGCTGACACTTTAGCAGTAGATAGAATACCTCCTATCCTGGCAGCATTGTCTGGGATCCTTGGAGCTTCACCTTCCACTGGTCTGATGAAGAATACATGCTGAACTCCAGCTTTGAGGGCCTCCATCTCACAGTCCCCAGGCCCCTCGACAGGCTGCTCATCCCTCACCTGGTTCCGCCTCCTGATGTTGATGTAGATGCTGATGTTGAAGTACATGACAGTAACAAATGGGGTGAAAAACTCAACAGTGGATGCTGTCATCAAGAAATACCAGTTGAAGTAAAACTCAGCGTGGCACTCTTTGTCGGGCACCACGCTACTACCAGTGATGTACTCCCAGATGATGATCGCTGGCCCATAGAGTAGGAAAGCAGCCAGCCACACACTCATCATCTTCAGAACAGCCTCCCGCGTCACACCTTTCTGACACCTGTAGCTCACCTAATACAGAAATAAAGAAATGGTGGCATTATTGAAATAGGGTGCACAAAGTTCTTGGTGCACTAAAGAAAATCTTTCATCTATAATTTTTTTATATTGCTTTACATTTCATTACTTCCATATCACTAGCAGTCAGTTGAAAATGAAACCTGCGCAGGAAAGGATAACCGTGCATAAATGCTTTCTCACCGCTCGTGTGACAGATATAAATCTGTCGAAGCTGATCAGGACGATGTTGAACACTGATGCAGTACATAAAGTATAGTCCACCACCAGCCATATCTTGCACAGACCTCGTCCGAGTCTCCATTCGCCGGTAATGACATAAGGGATATACACCGGAATGCAAAAGCCTCCTACAGGTGGGATGGAACACACATTTTACGCACGAATATTAAGCACGCATATGAAACGCGTTTTCACTTATTTTGGCAATATAGAACAGTACAGAGAGAAAATATGTATGAGTAGCAGTAGCTTATGAATCATGCGCAACAGTATGTATACCTTTAAAACAATGGCACACAATGCATTTGCTCACACAATACATTTACGCACTCACCAACGAGTAAGTCGGCTATGGCCAAATTCAAAAAGAAAAAGTTCCCTTGAGTTTGCAAACTTTTCTCGACTACAAAGGCTAATATTACAAGCGCGTTGCCTAGCACAGTGGCGAAGACAAGAAGCGTCATGAGCACCGCCAAGAACACGGAGGTAGACGGAGAGAATTGTCCATAATGCGAACGCGGGTTACCAGGCATCTCCATATCGCCAAGCGCTGTGGCGTTTCCCTGGGTAACCACAGACCAGTTGAGCATCTCATTCGATTTCCAATGCGAAGTGACGGCCATGGAAGATCCAGCACCCAGCAATAAAGATTCTGGTTGCATGGTTCCTCAATTTGTTTTATATTAGCTTAAACAGCCAATAACATGTTAAATTGTTAAAGCTGACATTGCCATGGTGTTCGTGTGAAGACGGAAAACGAGGAGGAAGATGTCGTTTTTATAGGCTGCAGCCTACATAAAACGAGAGCTGCGTTTTTATTGGTTGTTTTTCAGTGCATGTGAGAACGGAAAAACAGGACATATGATGCCTATCTACTCGGTCTGTTTGAGCAGACAGTTTATAAAGATAGTGAAATAAAGATTATAATTGTGAATTCCTTAGAATACACAACATTTGAAAGCATATGGGTGTTCTGTATTTCTTTCTAAACACAATTTTTGCTGTGAGAAAATATTAATTTCCAAGGCAAAAGTAAATGAAAATGTAATATCTGAAAACTATTCCTGGAAATTATTTTCATCTACTTTCATATTAATATTGTGGCTGAGCACCTGGCTTTGCAAAGTTGTGTCAAATACTAATTCTATACTAAACAAAAATATAAATGCAACATGCAACAATTTCAAATATTTTACTGTTATAGTTCATAAGGAAATCAATCAAAGTCAATAAATTCACTAGGCCCTAATCTATGGATTTCACATGACTGGGAATAGAGATATGCATCTGTTGGTCACAGATACCTTTAAAAAAAGGTAGGGGCGTGGATCAGAAAACCAGTCAGTATCTGGTGTGACCACCATTTGCCTCATGCGGTGCGACATTTCCTTCGCATAGAGTTGATCAGGCTGTTGATCGTGGCCTGTGAAATTTTGTACCACTCCTCTTCAATGGTTGTGCGAAGTTGCTGGAAATTGGCAGGAACTGGAACACCCTGTCTTACACGTCGATCCAGAGCATCCCAAACATGCTCAATGGGTGACATGTCTGGTGAGTATGCAGGCCATGGAAGAACTGGGACATTTTCAGCTTCCAGGAATTGTTTACAGATCCTTGCGACATAGGGCAGTGCATTATCATGCTGAAACATGAGCTGATGGAGGCGGGTGAATGGCAGGACAATGGGCCTCAGGATCTCGTCAAGGTATCTCTGTGCATTCAAATGTCCTTCGATAAAATGCAATTGTGTTCGTTGTACATAGCTTATGCCTGCCCATACCATAACCCCACCGCCACCATGGGACACTGCGCTTTTTACCCAGCACTGGGCTACCAAAACAACTAAACTGGGTTGTTTCTAACCCAGCGTGTAGGCTACGTGGGCATGCTGTCAGGAGAATGAAGCAGCCTAAATGACAGCCCATCTGTGAACGCCCACAGAACATGTGTTCCTCACACATTAAGGTCTCAAAAAACGATAAATAACACTTAACATACTGGAATATTGTCACAAGGGTTTACAATTATCAAGAAAATAGATATGAACATGCAATCTTTCAACTCAAAAGGCCTCTATTTGGCTCCTTACTGAGGATTTATTTTCTACATCACCAGCAAGCTCACTTTAACCCTTTTGAAATAAATTAAATCTTTGATAATACTGTCTGATGTAATTGATAATAAATATTAATTGATCAATTAATCTATCATGTCTCTTTATCTGTTTCATATCTGGGATAGGATAAAGGAATCCTTCTACCCCCCCCCCCCCCCCCCCCCCCCCCCCAATTGTAAAGTGGTTATCCCACTGGCTATAGGGTGAACGCACCAATTTGTGAGTCGCTCTGGCTAAGAGCGTCTGCTAAATGACGTTAATGTGCCCTTGAGCAAGGCACTTAACCCTAATTGCTCCTGTAAGTCGCTCTGGATAAGAGCGTCTGCTAAATGACTAAAATGTAAAATGTAAATATCTGACCTGGTTGATTTCACTTGAAAAACTCTTGAAAATATGTTTCTGCTGACACCTACTGGACAATAGTATGAACTTCAGTGGCTAGGGCTGCATCTCAATAGTCAAAGTGTGTACCTCAGCTTCCTCCCATATGCAACAATATAACAGGTCAAAGCTATAGGGAAGACCAGGCATTTCCTTTGGATATAAATGTCTCTGATTTAACATATTATCAAAGATTATTTACAATTTGTGATACATTTTCTCTCATATGTAGAAAAAAGAACTGGTTTACTATTGGTAACGCCCATCAATGGAACCACCCCACACGTTTAGCCAACGTCAATGCTCATTGGTCGAGACTCCCTAAACCGGGGAAATTTTGAAATTAGCAACAATGTTGTTTGTGTGAAAGTGCTTTTTTTTTTTTTTTACCAAAGGCACCATTAGTTAGCTAGTTCCCCTGTCATTTCACTACTCAGGGCTGGATTTTGTTATACATTTAGACCTCTGCTGTGGCTAGTTTGAAAGTTTTACAATGGCTGAAGAAGACGGTTGTTCATCTAGTATGACGGAGCCTCAGCTTGAAGCAGGAGGAGACAAGGCGGCGGATGGAATGAGGTCGACAGCAGATTCAAGTGAAAGTGGACAGGACAAGCCCGACAAAGTGGATTTGGAGTCAAATGTCGAATTAAAAGAGGATGTCAGAGATTTGAATTTGCGACAAGGAGATGTTGTCAGACAAGGTTTGTTTAATAACTATTGTTGCTCATTTCAACCGTGCAGCTAGCCTAGCTAACTGGCTAATAATGTTAGCAAGCTAACGTTAGCTAGGTAAGTAAATTAAGTAACGTTATCTAAATAACGTTACTGTACTGTAACTAGCGAAACATGCAACTCCACCAACCGTTGACTCATAACAGCAAATAAGGCTAGGTATATCTCATTAACCTATTTGCTGTATTTCAAAGAACTGTTAGAAGAATAGAGGAGAAAAATTCCCCCCTCACAAATTGGTGCGTCCCCCCCCCCAAATTGTAAAGTGGTTATCCCACTGGCTATAGGGTGAACGCACCAATTTGTGAGTCGCTCTGGCTAAGAGCGTCTGCTAAATGACGTTAATGTGCCCTTGAGCAAGGCACTTAACCCTAATTGCTCCTGTAAGTCGCTCTGGATAAGAGCGTCTGCTAAATGACTAAAATGTAAATGTAAATGTAAAAATGGTTGTCTCACTCAGTACTTATTAATGGATCTTTCATCTCCCCTGGCTTCATCATTACCTGCTGCTAGGCCATGCCAGATCAGTGAATGATGGAGGAGAGGGCACAAGGAAAGGAAACTACTTTACACAATGCAACCTAGTAGAAAATTAGATATCAATCTAACTTATACTTTCTCTTCCAACACAGGACTTTTCCAGAATGAGGAGGAGGAGGATGGTGACAGCGGCACAGACTACTTCAACACTGATATAGCTGGTACTCAGTTGCAACGTGCTGAACGCATAGGAGATGCATCCCTTCCTGACACCTTTCAGACAAATGAACTACTTTATTACGAGCGATTCAAAGCCTATCAAGACTACATGCTAGGTATGTAACCTTCCTACGGTCTTACATCTATTCTACAACCATATTGATCGATTTTCAAGGCTCCCAGTGACAAATCGGAAATAAGTAAATAAAACTGACTGCTGTTGTTTTGGACAGGTGATTGTAAAACATCAGAGGTGAAGGCCTTCACAGCTGACTACCTGGAGAAGGTTCTGGAGCCTTGTGACTGGCAGGCACAGTGGTGCACAGACGTGTTTGATGTGCTAGTGGAGGTAAGTCACTTCGACCTGAAAGATTGCCCAGCAAGAGACATGTCTAAAAGAAGCTGTGCTTTGTACTCTGCATGAATGAATTGGAACACTTGTACTCTGGATGCAGTTTTATAGTGAATCTGAATCCAGATGTCTGGTTAAACAATGCGAAACAGCTATTTTTTCCAATGTTATACAGATGGTTGGATCTGACCAGTGAAGCAGAAGTAGCCTAACCATTCACCCATGAAAAATTGTCATATGACGGTTACAACCTCATACTTGTTCCCCTTTCTTCAGGTGGTGGATGTGAACTATAAGGAGCTGAAAGCCCAGGTGAAGCTGGTTGTGCCCCTGCAGTGTGAGACAAGAGGCTGCGAGCTGACAGAGGAGGCCATGAACACCCTCCTAGAGGCCACTCTGTACAAATTGCCTCTGCAGGAGCTCCATGTGGTGTTTGATGAGTCTGGGGACTTTGACCAGACTGCACTGGCACTTGAGCATCTCCGGTAAGACCCTATTGTTAAGTTTTAAACTGCTAAGGTTTTTCTCAAAGGGCTGTTGAAGCCACAATTATTATTTCCAAGTCAGAGGAGAAAGCATCAGAAAAAGTGCCGAAGGCGATTTGTCCCATCCCCCTATAAAAATGATTGAAACAGGCCTCTTGTTTTAGGAGTTTGAATGGTGTGGAACTGACATTCAATTTGGGTGGGCCTGACTTTAACTTCTCTTAATGTGTGTGTGAATTTTTCATGCTTGTCTTTTGGTCCGCTTGATAGAACTTTAGAATAACTTTATTTTTCCTGTGAGGGAACTTCTTTTTTGGAGTGGTTAAAGCTGCAATATGTACGTTTTTGGGCGACCTGGCCAAAATCACATAGAAATGGGAGTTATAGATCTTTCATTCTCATTGAACGCAAGTCTAAGAGGCGGTAGATCTGTTCTATGTGCAATATTTCTATGCTTCCCATTCTTAAGTCTTTTACTTTCAGGTTGGTACACCAGCTTTAAACACCTGAAAATACAATATTTGTGGTTATGGAAAATATATTTCACAGTGGTTTAGATGGTGCAATGATTATCTATACTATACTTGCTTGTTTTGTCACATAAACTGAATTTAGGCAAACTATTAGAATTTTAGCAACCAGGAAATGGCAGAGCGATTGCTGTATAGTGCACCTTTTAAAACAACAACGACATAAACAAAGTAGACCCACTAGGCACAAATAGTCTTACCAGACACTTTAGCCTGTTGTTCCACCTACAAATATGACAGTACAGTAATAACATCAGAAACATCTGTGAGTGCAATATAGAGCAGGACTTTCCCAGCAGAGTTCTGAATGGGGAATGTTGGTAGCTACGTCTCAGAATCTTGATCATGCAGACTCGCCACCCGCATTGATGGTGGGAGTTCATAAAGTTTACACAGCAGCATTATGGAGATTCGTATGGAGCCTCTGCCTCACTCACCCGCCCCCCCGCCGACCTGTTGTTGGCATTGCCTCTCATAGACGTAGCTAGCTAGCACTGCTCTCTTTCCGTCTGGCCGGCAGTTGCATCCTGTGTCTCCATGGATACCACCGGGGATCAGATGAGATGCACACAATAAAAATGCTCAAAACGGCTTCACTCTGCTGGTTGGCCCCTTTTTTATTTTCTTTATCAGCTGACTCAACTACTTCCATGCACTGCAAACACATTTTCTCAGCTATTATATGACAAAAACACTCAAAATAATGTCAATGGACATGACAGATGAGACAGAACCGACATCACCCGTCACATTACAGCGGCAGAAAAAAATATATGGACTAGTTCTTATGTGATATTAAATAACAGAATGGTGTGTTCAAATTTCATGGTGAAACACACACTGAGAAATACCCTGAAGGGAGATAATACACTGGAACAAATGGTTCTGCTTCTGTGCTGAGAAATCTCTTGTCTGAACTGTCTCAAACCTTTTCTTCTCAGGTTTTTCTACAAACACATCTGGAGAAAGTGGGACGACGAGGACGAGGATGATGACTTTGACTACTTCGTCAGATGTGTGGAGCCCCGCCTCAGGCTGTGCGTGTAGAAGGGTGATAGTGGGGGGAATGGGAAGATTATTCAGTGTGTGGGCTAGATTGGCACATTCTCATTTAGGCTGTATTGGTTCAGATCTGCCAATGACACGGCTAGGTTGAACCCATTATTTTATGCCGCTATCAAAACAGCCATATGGCATAGGAACCTGTAGAGCATTGCAAATCAGTGCAGTTCAGGCACACTTGAGCAAGCTCCATGTCTAATGGTTGGAGCTGGAAGGCTGTTGCAGTGAGAGGGTGCAGATTATTACTTGGCCACTAGATGGCAGTGTGTACCTGGGGTTTGTGAGCATGCTGTGGCGTCTCCTATATAATTGGATATTTACGGGTGGAGATGAGGGTTAAGATATCTTATTGGCTTCAGCAGAAAACCTAAAGCTTATTATTGTGGGACCAATCAGCTGCAATTTTATAACAAGGACACTATGTCCACAATTTGCTTTTATATATTTTATACATTTGAGTCATTTTAGCAGATGCTCTTATCCAGAGTGACTTACAGTAGTGAGTGCGTACATTTTTCATACTGGTCCCCCGTGGGAATCGAACCCACAACCCTGGCGTTGCGAGCCCCATGCTCTACCAACTGATTCACACGGGACCAAATAATGGTTAAGAACATTAATCTGCTAGACAAAGAAATAGTCTTTGTAACCCAATCAAGACCGGATTTTTAGATAGAATGGAGACCCCCCTTGTTCAGAATCTTGATGTTCACCTGTATTTTTCTTTCTCCAAATAATGGTTAAGAACATTTTCAAATGACGGACAACGCCATCAAACAAACAATGTTGTGCTCTGAGCTTCTCCTCTAGATTTACCCCACCTTAATTAAACCTCTGTTGCCCTCAATGTTGCTGAACAGTTTGTTCCCAACAGTCCTTCAAGACACCTCATAATGCGATTGTGTTTTAAAAAAGGAAAACAAAATAAGTATTTCTCCCTCTGTGGCTGTGTCAATCCTGCAGGTTTTATGATATTCTGGAGGATCGGGTGCCTGCTGGACTTGTGGCAGAGTATCACTCTCTTTTGGAACGCTGCTCTCAGAAGTTCCAGGAGTTTTCTAGCCTGCGGAACGGCATCAGCAGCGACTCTGAGTCGGAGCTGGACAACGTGTCCATGGTGGATGGCCTGAGGATGTACGAGCAGATGGAGGCCCTGAAGCGCAAACTCCGGATCATCGAGAACCCGCTGCTCAGGTAGCTGGCCAGGGGGATACAGGCCACCAGTGCCTCTGCAGAGTGTGTGTGTTGAGGGAGTAGTTGTGGGACTGATGGGAGTTGGTCTCCTAACAGAAGACTGAGTAAAGGCTATTGGATTCAGCTCTGTGTCCCTGAGCTAGCATGTTTGACCTATACTGCCCCTGTTGAGAGCAAAACCTCTCAGAATAACACTACAGTCCAGTTCAATGCATCATATTCTGGTTAGAATACAAAAGAGGGACAGCAATTGAATTTATAGCTACTACTAATGCACACCTGGGCCTATACTCCGAGAGGCTATGGGAAAGTGGAAGATCATCCATTCTGCTCTGTCCAATGCTGTACCATTGTGTTCGTCTACATAAATGTGTTCTCTCCTGACACTGCAGATATGTGCTGGGATACAAGGTGAACTCAGGGCAGCAGTCGTGCAGGGCCAAGGGGCCTCGTGCCTCAGGCGGCCGGATGGTCCATGTCGTGTCTGTCTCCACTACAGTCAGCCAGCTGCAGAGCCTGATGGCAGACAAGCTAGGGCCCGAATTCTCAGGGGAAGAGTTTGAACTACAGGTATGGCAAAAAAATAAAATAGTTTTTTTAAATCTATGACATTCGTCCCTTCTTAGGCATATTGTATTTTGTCAAATTTAAGTTTGCCCAGGTTTCCATTTCAAATGGTCTGTTTAATGAGATGACCAGAGACGAAACCCAATGGTTATGCTCTCTAACCATGTCACACTTGTGTATAGGTCTAATGCGCAGGGATTTGTGGGATTTGCTGAGGTGCTTGGGCTGTCTTTTATTTGACCTCCCTAGTTCCTGGCTTTGTAGAAGCTGTGTCTGTTCGCCTGATTTTTCTATTCCACTGAGATGTCAGAAGCAGAAAACGTGTGTTTTTGTGTCTGTCTTTGTTTAGTCATGAGTGCAGATCTGTGTTGTACAGACAGACTGTGTACTGGAACTGCTCTGTGTTAAATGTTAGTTTCACAGTGAGCCCCTGCTGGCTGTGAGTGCCTGCTACGAGGGAGACGTGGTCATCATCCTTCCAGGACACTACAATGTCAACAGCTCCATCAGTATCCCAGACTCCATATCGGTGGAAGGTAATGTTTCACATGTCTGAAAGCAGCCTTTATAATGGCAGGATGCACTACTGCTGTATGTATGTACAGGTAACTGCCAAAATAATGGAAACACAAGTAAATGAGGGATACAAAGTATATTGAAAGCAGGTGCTTCCACACAGGTGTGGTTCCTGATTTAAAACGATGTTAACCATTTGCAATGGCTGTCTGTCACCAGATCTCAACCCAATTGAACACTTATGGGAGATTCCAGCACCGTCAACAAAACACCAAATTATGGAATTTCTCGTGGAAGAATGGTGTTGCGTCCCTCAAATAGAGTTCACTCTACACTTGTAGAATCTACGCCAAGGTGCAGTGAAGCTGTTCCGGCTCATGGTGGCCCAACACCCTATTATGACACTTTATGTTGGTGTTTCCTTTATTTTGGCAGTTACATATTCGCTGCTGAGGGGAGGACAGCTCATAATAATGGCTGAAATGGAGTATAATGGCTGCAATGGAGTGAATGGAATGGTATCAAACACATGTTTGATACCATTCCATTCACTCCATTCCAGACATTATTATGAGCCATCCTCCCCTCAGCAGCCTCCACTGGTATGTATGTGTCTTTTGTTGCTATTAGCCAGCCAGTGATGCCTCTTGCTGGTTTCAGGTAATGAGGAGTAGAATCTGGAGGCTTGGTAGTTCAAAAGTCCATATTCCACTACCTGAATCCAGCAAGAGGCCTCTTCTGATTTTCTGTTTTCCAATCATCCAAGTCTGAGGTTCAGTCATTGCAAAAATATCCCTCTGTTTTAGTTTTTTTATGTGAGTGAGTTGTTCAACACATTTTGCAGGTTGTCTGAATCCTTCCATCCTTTTCTGTCACTAAAGAATATGTTGCTATGCTATGACTAATGTGCTGCGAAGTACTGTTATGGCCATGGAAGTTATTTTCATATTGAACACTTGCGTAAGTGTTTCAGATGCAATCAAGTGTTCACCTGCTGCTGATGCTTTTACGGTACTGGCTGTACTATGTGGCATGTTAATGCTTCTGGAAGGTAAAACAACCACTCAATATACAGTACATGGAGTGAAATGAATGTATAGCAGAGAGCTTGATGGCGCAGTAAGCGTTTGAACGGGGGTGATAGTAATGCATAGAGAAGGCTAACGCGGGGGAGGAGAGGTCAGAGCAGAGGCGCCGTGTCAGTCTCTTTATGCAAATAGGGGGGCCTGCCGAGTCAGAGGGAGCGGAGGGGAGATTGGAGCGGCTTTTTACATGCGTCTGTTTCTATGTGCTTGCCCCCCTGTGGTGCTAGGAAAACTCCTGAAAGCTGAGATAAAGGGGAAATTAGATGCGGCGCTGCCTGGCACTGCACCACGACAGGAGAAGAGCAACTCAATTAGACCACCGCTGGATTACCATAATATAATTCTCCCTCCCACCAAAGAGCCTTTGATATTTTAGAGGAGCAGGGCACACAGAGGCGCTTATTGCTTTTTGGATATTGCTGTATCAAAGACTGATCATATGCATTTTTCCGCTCTATCTTCATAAGCATAGCGAGAATTTCAGAAGAGTGTGTTCCCGAAGAGACATTAGAATTGATTAGTGAGGAGGTTGTTAGTCAGCACTTGTTAAGAACAGAATGCATTTGTGATCTGCAATCAGTGCACACATTTTAGCATTTTTTTTCATTCATTCTCTAAGCAGTAGCACATTTTTGCCTGTCATGAAGCCCACTGGGAATAGGGTTTTCCTCTCCTGGAAGTGTGCATGGCCCTATGACTTTACAAATCGATATTCAGCCTTTGGCCTTTCCAATGGCAGCGTGTGAAACCCAGCCAGTGCTGTAGAATTGTTGGCCACATTGTGGAACACCTGTCTCCAGGCCAGCTGTCAAGGAACAGAGAATAATGAACCCTAGCCGTCAGAACACTGTCCATCACATTCTGCACTGTTGTACAGTGCTGCCTGCCTGGGATTGTGCTGAATTGCTACTTGTCATGTACACCACTACGAGGTTGGAAGGAGTGTTCGGAACCAACACTGGCCATTGAGCCATGACCCAGTTGTCCCAGCTGTCAGCATGCAAAGATGGAGCAAATGCAATTTATTCGATATGATAATCTTCTTTCTATGTACAGTTGGTGATGGGGGAAAAATTGATATAGTAAGTGGAGTATTGCTATATTATTTTTGCCGATTTTCTATCGATACTGTGATTGCTAGGTAGTTAACATTAGCTAGCGCTAGTCGGCTGTACCTGCAACAACCTATAGCTCATCATTCTATAGCTTGTTCGCCATCTTCTTTTTAAGTGTTGAGCCAACATGTGTTCAACACTTATCTCCATGACAGATCAAAATGCCTTTTCTTCATGGCTCTCTGCCGCAGACATATAGTGAGCAATATGTTTAGAACATCAAATCGCAATAAAATCGCAGTATCGAATCGCAATACGTACGTATACACTGACTATACCAAACATTAGAAACACCTTCCTAATATTAAGTTGCAACCAGTGGTGTAAAGTACTTAAATAAAAATACTAGTTGTTTTTTGGGGTATCTGTACTTTACTTTACTATTTATATTTTTTTTTACTTCGCAACATTCCTAAAGAAAATGATGCACTTTTTACTCCATGCATTTTCCCTGACACCCAAAATTACTCATTACATTTTGAATGTTTAGCAGGATAGGAAAATGGTATAATTCGCAGACTTATTAAGAGAACATCCCTGGTCATCCCTACTGCCTCTGATCTGGCGGACTCTCAAAACACATGCTTCGTTTGTAAATGATGTTGGACTGTGCCCCTGGCTATCTGTAAATTAAACAAACAAGAAAATTGTGCCATCTGGTTTGCTTAATGTAAGGAATTTGAAATGATTTTACTTGGTATATTTGAGCAATTACAATTACTTTTGATACTTAAGTATATTTAAAACCAAATACTTTTAGACTTTTGCTCAAGTGGATTTTTACTTGAGTCATTTTCTATTAAGGTATCTTTACTTTTACTCAAGTATGACGATTGGGTACTTTTTCCACCACTGGTTGCAATGAGATTTTGCAACAGCCTCAGTTCGTCAGGGCATGGACTCTACAAGGTGTCAAGCGTTCCACAGGGATGCTGGCCCATGTTGACTCCAATGCTTCCCACAGTTGTGTCAAGTTGGCTGGATGTCCTTTGGGTGATGGACCATTGTTGAAACACAGGGGAAACTGTTGAGCATGAAAATCATTCTTTAACCTGTCTCCTCCCATTCATCTATTCTACACTGCAGAGATTAATGTAAACCAGGGCCTAAAATTAACACCCGCCAAATGTGAGTAGATTTTGGCATTGGCGGGTAAGATGTCTGTTTCACCAGCCACGTTGGCGGGTGGTCAGGGTCCACAGTGCGAGCATTTCATGCGTGTTTGTGAATAAAAATAGTAAAGTATGATCACAATTATAGCAAAATAAAAGCTGCAGTATTTCTGCCTTTGTTTCATAGCTTGTAAATTAATTGCACAAAGTCAAAACTATGAATCGCTATAGCCTATCTCACCTCGCGCTGCAACACTGCCTGGCTGGGGGCTGTGTGCACGTGAAGAGCTGCGCACAGACAAGTTGGTCTAATTTACTTGAAACGAAAGTCACAAGCTAGGTTGTTTTTCAATGTTTGAGTTTCAACTGCTATGGAAGAGAAGACAACGTAGCTACTAGTCATTCTCTGTCTCACAGACACAAACATGACTGAGTTGCATTACCATGGTAACCTCCCGCCCTTGAAGAGGCAGGTGAACATTTGTCTCAACTGTGATATTTTGGTTAAAATACTCAGGTCACAAAAAATGAAAAGAAACAATATATCACATTACTTCTTACTAGTAATGCATTTGTTTTAGAAACATTACAAAGCATGCTTTTTTTTGTTGGTGTCATTAGTGGGGATGGGGGGGGGGGGGGGTCTGAGTGGCTTGTAGATCTTTAAATCTACCTGCTACAGTGGCTGGTGGACCAAAAAGTAAATTCTAGGCCCTGATGTAGGCTAATAAATCTTTATTTTCAGGGTTCGGCCTACCTGATGAGGTGGTGATTGAGAAGAAGAACAAAGGGGACTCGTTTGTGGAGTCAACAGGAGCCGACGTGAAGATCTCCAACGTCAAGTTCATCCAGCATGACGCTATCGAAGGCATCCTCTGTGAGTCCTCTTAGTCCTTCTCCCAATGTGATGCTGCCTCTACATCTACCCTGCCCCCCAACTCTACTGGCAGTCCACCCATTGGCCTGCATGAATAATTCTGCCTAAGCTGCTGGCATTGCTTAACATCTGGCAACAGCCATATACAGTGAGGGGGAAAAAATAATTTGATCCCCTGCTGATTTTGTACGTTTGCCCACTGAAAAAGAAATGATCAGTCTATAATTTTAATGGTAGGTTTATTTGAAAAGTGAGAGACAGAATAACAAAAAAAAACAACAGAAAAACGCATTTGTCAAAAATGTTATAAATTGATTTGTATTTTAATGAGGGAAATAAGTATTTGACCCCCTCTCAATCAGAAAGATTTCTGGCTCCCAGGTGTCTTTTATACAGGTAACGAGCTGAGATTAGGAGCACACTCTTAAAGGGAGTGCTCCTAATCTCAGCTTGTTACCTGTATAAAAGACACCTGTCCACAGAAGCAATCAATCAATCAGATTCCAAACTCTCCACCATGGCCAAGACCAAAGAGCTCTCTAAGGATGTCAGGGACAAGGCTGGAATGGGCTTTCCCTCTTGTCTCCAGGTGTTCGTCAGGGTAAGCTGGAGATGGAGAACTGTGTCCTTCAGTGCGAGACGACAGGTGTCATTGTGCGGACGTCAGCCCACCTGACCATGAACATGTGTGACCTCTACGGCTCAAAGGTGAGAGGTCATTGACGCTCATCACTCTCATGGTGGCGTTGTGCTTTTATTTTTTATTTTTTTCTGTGCAGTAGCCTAGCTGTGTCTCCACATGCTGATAACTGTTGTGCTGTAGGGAGCTGGTGTGGAGATTTACCCTGGCAGTGTCTGCAGTATGGTGGGAAATGGCATACATCACTGCAAAGAAGGAATCCTGATCAAGGTGAGAGACCAGAACTTCAATCTGTATATTACTGCTCCCAGCACTAGCACATTCAACCTCCACAGTAAACCGTCAACATCAATGGAACGTCCTGCTATGCTATGCATCTCTTTCTAGGATCAATTCCAAGCCTGTGGCATGATCTTCTTTCAACCAAAATTGAATTTAGTGGAGAATTATGTTAAAATGCGTACACACTCACAGCAAAAACAAATATGGACTTATTTCCCTAGTTAACTCCAGACGAGTTCTGGGGTCTTATCTCATTCCCTGAGGATAGAACAGTAGTGTGTTTTTTATCGGTCCCTCACACAGGGCTTTCCTTCCTGTTGTCTCTCTGCTCGGTGTGTTGGACTTGGCCAGGACAACTTAAGCAGGAAGACAGACGTGATGACTCTGTTTATGCTTGTCTTTCCCCTCTCTCTGTTGCTCAATCTGTCAACCTCCTCCATCCCTTCTTCCCCCAGGACTTTGCTGATGAGCTGGACACCATGCCCAAGATCACCATGGTGAACAATGTGATCCACAACAACGAGGGATACGGAGTGATCCTGGTCAAACCTAGTGATGCTGCAGCTGTACAGGAAGACATCCCAACTGGTACTAACTAGTTCCAAAGCCTGGGGAAGTTCTCCTCAGGAATATGATAAAAAGGGGTGGAGTACGACAGAGTCTAGATGGAAACTAGTGATGCATTAACACATCAAATCTGTCACATTTTGCATCGGTGGCGTTCCAAATCGAGTTTTGTATTTCTGAACGTTATTCTGATTTGCAAGAAGCTAGCAAGCTTAAGAAACAATACTAACACCGCACATGCTACTAAAACTTTGTCTTACATGGTAGGAAAAGAGACTTGGACGAAACAAGGAAAAAACTGGGAAATGGCACTGAGGGGAAATGTCATTTATACTTAGAGCCAATCTAATTTGAACGTTGAATGCCAGCACTCCCATTCAAGCACATAATCCAATACTGAAGTTCTCCAGACTTCCAATAGTAGAATCAACAAGACAGGATTGGGAAGGATTGCCACGCGAGACTAGGTACTTCCCCACATCAATGGGTTTACTATCTCTGGAAGGCTGAGTTAGTTTCACTGGAAAGTTTGAGAGAAAATGTGCTTGACCTTCAGTCCAGGGCAGCTGCAGGATAAAAGGTCCAGCTGAAGGTGGCATGGCTTAAAATACATCTGGAGCACTCTCTTTTCATCTCTCTCCCTCTCCAACGTCCTCTAATGGAATGTCCCTTATTGTTTGACCCCAGTACACAGGAATAAATACCTCTACCCCAGACAGGGGAATGAGTGAAAATGGCTGAAATTGTTATTTAAAGAAAATTATAATTAACAAATCTCTTCTCTTCAGATTACCTTTCAAAAATGTTATCTACAGAATTAATCAGTTTTGCAGAGACACTACTAAGCCAACAACTGGGTAATAATTGTTGTTTGCGTTGTTATTGAAAAGATGTCCATTATGATGCATTATTTCCCTTCTGGAATTAGCAACACAAAAAAAAGCTGTAAATAAAACATTTCTCAACACTCCATTCCCCACTTTAAACGTTGAAAAGAGGCTGTTCGCATTTTGATTTGAAAAGGCAATTATCTACGATTGATCCCAAAGGGCAGTCTTTGTTAGAATACACTGTCAGTCTGATTTGAACAGAATGTAGTAATATTTCACAGGAAGATGTGGTGTTTTCATAAACATGACAAATCAGAATGTCATGATGGAGAAGGAAGTGGAAGTAGTGGTATTAAGTCTGAATGTCACAGTGAGGTGTTGACAAGCCTGTCATGAACTGATTCATGTTATTTTCCAGATGAGCCACTGGATAAAGAAGAAGAGGGGGAAGAGGAGATGAAAGGTGAGATGAAGATGCAGGTAGATGTAGACGTGCCCCTCATCGTGGTGGACGACTGCTCTGTGAAGGAACCAGTCTCCTATTCGTCTTGTTACGACGTTCCTCCAGAGTTCACGGAGGGCAACGATGCCATCAAGAGGGAGCTGGTGGCCACATCAGCCAAAAAGCAGCGATGCCAGAAGAGCAGGCTGAAGGAGCTGGGAGTGACCCAGGCAGATGACAACCTGCTCTCCCAGGAGATGTTTGTCTCCATCCAGGACAACCAGTTCAGGAGAAACGGCATGGGCAGCTTCGGCACCTTCTTGTACTGATACTAACTGACCCGTCCTCCTGTTCTGTAGGCCATACATGCACAAACACACTTTTACTTTATTTATTCTAACCTCTTTGCAAAATGTTGCTGCACTAGCTTGTGAGTGGGTATGTGTATTTTTAAATGCTTTTTTAACATGGCTTTTTAATACAATTCTCATTTTAGTATACTGATATTGTGGAGACCTGAGTCTAATAAACTGAATTATTTTCACAATTACACTAATGATGAGTCTCAAATGTCCTTCGCAAATGTTTTTTCACTTTTTTCAGTGGATATTGTATGATTTCTTGTTATGGATATTGTTAAGATGACACTGCTTTAAATTATTTTGTGTTTGTGTTGGGGGAAATCACATTGCCTTATTTTGAGTTAGTGTCTCACCCTCACCTGTAGTTCTGGTCATTCCTTTATCACATTTTGCTGAAAGCACTGTAAACATTAAAAATCATGAGCCAATAAAATTAGAATTTATATATGTTTTGATCTATTCGTTTTTTACACCTGGACACAGGACAGATGAGAGAGGGGAAAATCTGGAAGGCGGCTTATTGGTTTTAGGGGCTTAAGGCTTCACCTTTTATAAGATGCTCACAATTGTTTAATTCCAGTTGATTAATTTCCTGGGGATTAAAAGGCTGGTAAAACCTCATTACACCACAGGCAGTTTGATTAATTACCTAATCCAACATGCCCCTGTGAAATACAGCACGTTGTACTGCCTCTTATGAGGTGTCCCAGGCAGACCTCAATAGACCAATGTATTCCACAAATCCAAAACTGAATTAAATGGTGCTGGTAATCATTATTTCAGTGAAAACATCTGCCCAGTGATGGATTTTTTTAAAATCTGATGATGAGTACAGACTGACAAAAGTCCATATTTAGGTCAGCATTTGACTGGGTGAATGGACTAATTGTATGTGAAATGGTTTTGTTGAATTTAATGATTTTACATACACATTTATTGTACCCATTAATAACCTAGGGATCGATCATTTCTTATATTTCATAGTGTTTTGTGTATGGGGAAAAAGCTTTAAGGGAATGTGTCATGTCAAGGCGTTACTTTCCCCCTTCTGCTTATTCCTGGCAGGACTTGTTGCTAGTGAATGACTTGACCCTATCATAGCATATCTGTAATTTCTGCATTAGGCGATATTTCCTTGGTTCGAATACCTCAGCCGACAAGGGGAAAAATCTGTCTGTGCCCTTGAGCAAGCCACTTAACCCTAATTTGCTCCAGTGTATGTGGCAATAAAACCAACCATTTTTTCTTTATTTTTTTAATGCTGCAGGAATGCCAAATAAATATAACTTTGTCAATAATAGGTCTGTACACTGTCTGGATATTGGAAATAATCTATGAACAGGGTCCAGGTGGGTTTTCATTCTGTCAAAACTGAGGAACCAATTATTGGTAGGACCGCTCACCGCTCAGGAAATGTGTGGTTTTGCATTGAGAAACTATACAGGGGATTATTATAGATTTTCCTCAATGTTTCAGTGAGATGCTATAGATGTCAAACAGAATGGGTGGAGAAAGAAACTGCAGGGCTTTTGTGGCAAATGTTTTATCTTCAATAAAAGAGTAGAATTCTAGGAGGACCAAAACGAGAGCTATGGGCCATGGAGGAAAGTAGAAAGTGCTGTTTGAAGTGGTGTACTTTATAAATAGTGAGTGTCTACAGGAACGAGCAGTGACCATCATTCTCGGGGAGAGGGAAGGGCTTGTCTGTTGTCCTCAAACTACTGTGACCAGTGCTTTGTCATATGAGGGGCAGATAGCCGACACTTTTGTCCAAATACACTAACACCAGCTCCCCTCTCTCTTAGGTTTTATGCTAAAATAACATTTTATGCCATGACACTTTCTGACAACAGACTATTATGAATAGTTTGATAGGCCTAAATGGCTGCATTCACACAGGCAGCCCAATTCTGACCCTTTGCCCAATGAATGGCAAAATAGCTGATCTGATTGATTTTAAAAAACAGTTAGTGACAAAAATATAAGTTAATGAATACTCTTCCAATCTTTAAATAAGAAGTTTAAGACTCCTTTGTCTTCCTATGATTTATTTTTTAAATTTGCTATGAGAATGAGAATTCAGATTATTTTAATTAAGAATGACTTCCAGTTGGCTGTTAATTAGCTGTGTCAGGCAACTTCCACTTCTCCCCATGACTTTGTCAAGCCTGCAATTCTCCTGGTGTCCCTCACATTGCCATTTCCACTGAATATATTGTAAGGAAGGGAAACGTGTATCATACACGGTGTGTGTGTGTGCATGCATGTGTGTGATATTCTGTAGCTAAAGTTAATGTCATCCTATTAATTATGAAAATAAAAAAAATGCCCTATTACTAGGCTATTCAAAATGAAATACAAATTCAATATAATTATAGGCTAACTCTGTAAGCCGCCCTGCACAATCAATGAACCAACAGTATAGCCCAGGCCTATATGTTCTCTCCCAGACTCATGGATAGAAAGTTTGGAGCGTAGCATAATGTAACAGTCCATCCAGTATGCATAATAATACAGTCCACACTCAAAGGCAATTACTAGAATTTGTTGAATTTTGGAGTATATGCTAGACCAATTATGTCCAAAGACATGCGTAATATGCGGTAGGCTATGTATTGTAACAACACAATCATTTTAATTCAGGGTTTTTTTCATGCTTGGGTTCATATATAGTCCTATGCGAATGCATAATCTCTAATATGCTTATGGCTGTTTTGAATTAATCATCACCTTAGAAAGCACTGTCCATTCCGTTGTGTTAGGCTTTGAAACAACATCCACAACTACCATGTTTTCCACTCAGTTTCATACTGTTGTTGAACTTCTTTTCAAATTGATCAATCACATTGAGGTGAGTTTTAAAAGCACATAGTGTTTTGATAAATGTTTGATGTGATTCTTGATTGCATTTGCATTGATGTCAGAGTGGTTAGAGGGACAATAGAGCCCTGAGTACCAGGCCGTTAGCGACCTGATGGTCGTTAGCGAGTCGGGTACTACCAAAGTACTACCAGAGTGCATAAGAGGAGATTACCGTGACTCAATGGTCACGTGGAATTTTACTGCGGTCATGACTCATGACTGCCGGTGTGGCGGTAATACGGTCACCGCAACAGCCCTACGTGTATATCTGTGTGTGTGTATGCCTGTGTGTGTAGGGAGAGAAGGAAACGGGACCTCAAATGGATTTGTGACAGAAAATGGAAATCTTTGCTCACAACCCGTGGTACCTAAATCTGTTCTGAACATGATGGAGGCTGGCCAGGGGTATTGAAGGGCACAGAAAGTAATCTGAGGGAAGGCAGTTTAAAAAATGAGGCTGTGCAGATAAAGAAAGGGGAAAACTATAGAAATAGTAATTATATTTCTGTGGGGAAAACACCTGACTTCTGATTTAGAATAGAATACTGTAGAATAAATAATTGTGTCTGCTGTCCTGGTTTTTGTGTCTTGTCCTTGCATGACTTGAAGATGGCAGACAAAAGTATGTGGTGAGTCTGAATGCACTCTTCTGCGTGCATGTGTGTAGCCGTGTTCAAATCTGTGATGCGTTGTGGGTAAATTGTAGCTGACTGACTGATTTCCAAATAATAATGAGTAGCTATTTACGATGCAAGGTTTGATAGATCAGTCAGTCCGCAGTCGCCTGCAATGTCAGCTGCAATGTCGAACAAGCCCTGTGTGTGTGTGCGCATATGTGATTGCTTGTTTACATTCACACACACATTAATTTGGTAATCATCTTGGCCAAGGAGCCAAACAACTTTTTTTATTGTGAGCTTTAGTGCAGTTTCAGACAGGTTTGATCAGTTGGGAATGTGCCTGCTTAGGTCAACTAGTGGGTCGAACATTAAATCCTTTGGAGCTGCTAATTGCAACTGGTATAAGTGAAGATCGTTTAAAATAGCCAGCCATCAGCACAATGGATATATGGGGTTTTAGCTGAGGTCACTGTGAAGGAAATAAAAGGGAGTTGAGGAGTCATGTTGGAGGACTGTTTTTCCTCTAGTTCCATTATATTTCTCCAGTGTCAGCAGACTAAAACCAGACTATTTCCGATCAATACATACTGACATTGACATTTTTTGAATTGATACATCAGTGACTGTATGCTGACAGCCTGGCAATGATAATCATGAGGCCCTCTGTTGGGAGGGGGAGTTGCTCTTGTGGTTGTTGTGCTACAGAGCAGCTACAAATGGAAAGTAAATGTCTGTGCTGCAGACAGATACCCATAGTACTATTTCATCTCTTATGTGTCACATTTTGCTTACTGACAAAGTTTAGCCTGGCGTCCATAGCTAAAGCTACAAACGAAATCACAACTGACAAGGACCAAAAAATAAATTCCATTCTCTGCCAGTCAAGCTCTTGGCATAAAATTACCACGATGTGCATAGAACACAATCAATGGACAAACTAGGACCAAAAGCTTTTTTTACCGAATAAAGTTTGTCTTCAACTGATCTACCAGCCACCATCTGTGGAGCAATTGGCTTCAGCTGAACCTCACATTTGGCATGGCACAATAGCTAGCATGAAATGGGGCCAATGGCTTTGACGTACGTGAGAGGTAGATTTGACTGAGAAAAAAACGCATATAAGCTATTCGTATAAGCTTATTCATTTGCCATCACACATGCCTTTCTTTACCTGATCAGTAAAAAAGGAGAGCCAATGTGGTTGGAGACAGCTCTGTTTGAGGAGAGAGAAGTGTGTTAGATCTGTCACAGATGGCGGACAAAAATGGATGGCTTGAGCCCTTAAAAGTTCTGTGTAGAAAGCTTTATTTGAAATCCTTTATCGGAAGCAGGCTATTATTGTCACTCTCAAGAATAGAACACCTCTGATCACAGAGAGCTAATTAATTCTTTTAAAACGTGAAGTAGACAGGATCTTTACAGAAAATCCATGACTGTGTAACTAAGTTAGATTTTTAGCTGGTGAGATGCAGCAATTCATTGTGAACCATAAAGTCCCTACCCTCCGACAGTAGTAAGGCTACAGAGAATTGCTGCTTACACCAAAAGCTTTCATCCATATACATTTCCTTGCTTTATCTCTTTTAGTTGCCCCTTTTCTACTTTGTTGGGAGTCAGGGGGGCAGAATCAGTGTGTGCATTCTTCAGAGTGTGTCGAACCCAGACCCTGCTGCGGAGGCAGATCGATGGAGTCTGTACAGTGTTGGTGGGTCATCCGCCACAGTTTGCTTGCTTTAATGACTGCAATATCTCATACCATCTGTCATCCTCAACAGGCCCAGGCGGGGGGTCCCCCTCAATTGGGCTGGATTAAAGACGGGTAATTGTCAGCTCTTGCTACGGTGCCCCTTGCCAGTCTATTTCTGATACCACTTATAGGGCAGGCATCATCTCTTTTCTCGCACTGATGGCTTAAAGCTAATATCAAGAGACTGTTTTGAAGGA